TTTTTGGCCTCCAAATTTAAAAATATACATTTTTTTTTGGAACGACATAAAATTGTAAGTAAATAAAATGGTATCCTGAGGTTAAAAAATGTTGAAGGGAAGATAGAAGTTTAAGTATTTAAAAATTAGAGTAGCAAATAGAATTGAGTGTACGAAAGTTCTTCCATTCTCATTTTGTGGGGCAAACTATTATTGCCTAAAACTGATAAATCAAGAAATAAACATAATCTAGAGTTAAAAAGAATTAAGTTCAGAATAAAAAAATGAGATTCACCTAGAGAGTAGAGCTTCAGATAATGAGTTTGGAATCTGTTGCTTTCCACCAAAAGTTCTTTATTTTTTAGTTCTTATAATTGATGTTTATTACTTTACCAGATATTAAATACTGAGTCTGAAGATGGGTTTCATGTGAGAGATTACCACAGTAATGCCATCTTCTAATTTTTCAGGTCATAATTTAGATGAACTAAGGTGGCTGTGTTTCAGATTATGCAATAATAGTGTCCTTGTTCTAATGAAGTGATATTTCACATTTCCTGGGACAAAGTTGCATAGCTAGAGGCAGAATCTTTAATCCTTGAGGAAATGAATTACTGCCAAAGACAATAAAGTAAAGATGCTATTGTCCTTTGACTTTTTAAAAGTGCCCCAGTGTTTAGAACTAATGATTGAAGTAGGTAGGCAAAAGTAATTCAGCTCTCCTTGGGAGAGGATTTGAATATATGAACAGAAGGCTGGCTTACTTGAAGATTTTGAAATAACACTGTTAATAGCATGGTGTGATGGGTCCTGAACCTTTGTGCCAAGACTTCTAATCAAGATCCCAAATACTTGAATTCGTATCATACCTATCGCTTACTGTCATACGGGTATAGTTAGACTTTGGTGAATTTTATTTTCTAGATTTATTTCTTACCTTTAAAGATGGCATTATGGTTTTGCAAATTCTGAGTCTTTTCCTTTTATGTGGATTTCCTATATGTTGAAATCCCTAGGCACTTTTTATTTCAGCACAGCTTTGGTAGGGGCGATGGTCCCTTAGCTGTATTGAAAGCAACCTGGAAAGTGATTTTTCCTATTCCTTTTGGTGTCTGAAATGATCTTCGTTCAAACCCAGATGTTAGAGCTTCGTTTTTATAAATTTTCTTCTGTGACCTGGTATGGGAATAGACTTGTTGGTTGCTATTTTGTTAACTTCCACCACTTCCCTACAAAGGTGTGACTCACATCCCTTGGGCCTGTTGCTCTGAATGTAGAGCTGGTACTAGCTCTGACTTCCTCCCTCTGCTCTGGAAGGGTCAGTAATGAGTGTGGCTGCCTAAGAGAATGTTCTGAACAGGATGGTCCCAGGAGAGTTGCCGGGCATCCTGGTGGTACCCAGAGAGCACCTGGTTCTCACAGTGAACTATTTGGGCAGCCTGGGGCCCAGCACTTGGCATCAAAGGGTACTGGATGGAGAGGGAAGAAAGCTGGGATGTGAGCTGATATGGCATTTTGGCATGGGCTGAGAGTCCCATTCTGGTGGGCTGTCCCTTCTGTACCTGCACTCTGCTGTTTCAGGAGTGAGCTATGCTGAACAGCCTAGACCAGCACCCAGGTCCTAAACGACTTAGAGTAGCAAGTGAGTGGTATGTTCCCTGGTGTCATTGTTTAGACACAGCTCTATTTTTTGCTTATTTTCTTATTCCTGCCAGATATAGCTTTAGCTAATGGACAGTGACCAGCATTTAAGGCTGGTTCCAAGCACAATTAAGAGCCCTTGTTTATTTTCTGAGCCAGAAAGGGCAGCTTCGGGGATTAAGGCCCTACCACTTGCTGAGCATGGTTGGGGTTACCATGTTCTTCCATCATGTTGTGGCCTCGCTTTCCTATGACTCAGATTCTACCTGGTCAGTGCAGTGGTCCCTTGGCAAGGGTTGCATCAGAGCAGGGTGCCCTCTGCCATCCACATCCACTCTTCCTCCTACGACCACCGGGGGATTTGCCAAGGGCGGTGAAGCACCTGTCCTCCTGCACCCCGGGTAGACTGCATGAAGGTGGGGTGAGGATGTGTCTGGACTTTGACAGCTAACCTCATTCCCCATAGATACATTGCCCTATTTTGTAGAGTTGTCTTTTTGAATTTGTTGTCTCTATCCCCCAAACCGCCCTGATGCTTCCTTCTGTATCCTATACTTTCATCTGCAGGAGCCTCCACATGTAAAATGGGAGGACCTGTCTGCAAGAGCTTGGCACTGGTACATGGGAACTCTTCTCACTATAGCCCCTGAATCCAGCCTGTGCATTCGAGTTAGATGCCTGTGCTGCTCCATACATACATGTTGGCCTCCAGGGTAGAGGGAACATGTTGAGGGTTAGAGGTTCCAAGGAGAAAAGGGCCAGAGGAAGCCCTGAAGGACTCTACCTTGAAGCAGCTTTTGACCTCCACAGCTTTTGAAATTGCAGGAAGCCTCAGATCCTTTGTTCCTCGCAGGGCACCAGAAAGAGAGATAGTGGAAGCCTGGGGCTCTGCTGTTCACCCTCTGACCCTTCTCCCCTGGGCCAGAGTTCTGCCCACCAGGCTGCCCATCCCCACCCCAGTCTTGTCATGCCACTGTGTCCCACTTCTCTGTTTCTTCTAGTGCTTTCCCTTACATCCTTTGCTGTGCTGTGCTCCTCACCTGGCCACCTGCAGCTCTGCTGTCATCTCTTGGTGACACTCTTCCTCCCAGGCAGGTGTTTGTGGGGCAGCACTCTATTATGTCCTCTACCTTCCTGTGGTTTAGGGTCCTATATATGGATCCAGCTTCCCCAGACCAAGAGTTTGAGGGGTGGATGCCATTCCTTATTCAACCTGAGGGCTCTTGGTGAGTGTTTGTTGAATGAGTGAGTGAATGAATAAGCAAATGGGGTGAATGGAAATAACCAGCCTCCTGCCTGCCTTAGGTAGCTTAGGCCCCTCCTTGGGTGTGGGAAAGAAGAGGAAGTTGCTAGAGAAGACACAGTAAAAACATTGGGCCTCCTGGGCTGCTTTTTTATAGCCTCCTGCTGGCAGTTGGTTACCTTTACCCCTCTGGTTGCAGTAATGCTGATTCTTCCTTCCCTCAACTTGTCAGGGTTTAGTCTTAAATCTGTCAATATACGGAAGAGTTCTTGTTTCAGGGTTTCATTGGTATAAATTGTGCCCTCTCAACTGGTTGTGAACTCCTTAAAATCCTGAGATTTGTGTCCTAGGAAGCATTCTAAAGGAATGGAGACTTTGCCTCAGGTAATTTTGTCGAAGTCTGCCAAGTAGCTGTGAGATCATACAGGCAGAGTGATGAACCTCCCACCAGACCTCCGTTTCTCCCTCTGTAAAATCAGGGCTTCCAGAGCCAATGTGCCATCCCCTTGCTTACCGAGTTCCGATCTGGCACAGGTTCCATCCCCACATGTGCCATTGACCAAACTTGCGGGTCAGGAGCAACATGAGTGGGATAGATGTAGGGTGGACCTCAGCAGACCTTGGCAGCCCATCCTTGTTTCCACCCTCCAGTGAGAGGTTTTCAGCACCAAGGGCACTTCAGTTTCTGCTTCATTTCTGTACCTTGATGTGTATTCTTTCATTCTTTCAAAAAGGGATGGCTTAGAGGTAGAGGCTGGGATGTGGGAGGAAGGGCAGCCCTGGGTCTCCTCACTGAGCCTCCCTAGGCAGGCAGGATGCACCCCCACCCTCAGCCTGGGTTTCCAAGTGTACTTGCCTCCTGCTGCACCAGCTGCATTGTATCAGTTTAAAAAAAAAAAAAAACAAAACAAAACAAAACAAAAACACATCAAGTCCTTTATTAGGTTTGGATTGGGTTTTGTTTTTCTTTTGCACCTGAGTTTGTGGGCCTCTTGAAGGCCAGGAGTGGCTTGCTTTCTGTTCTGAGGGTTTGTTGTTTGTACATTTTTGTTCCCAGCTCTTTCTCAGATCCAGCCTTATTTACAGAACTTTCAGTCCTTGGTTTCTATCTAGTCGGGTGTGTTTTCTTTCTATTTATTCTTCTAGTTGTTCCATTAGTCCAGCAGACCCCAAAGATTATAAACCAATGGTGAGTGAAGAACCTTCTGGCTGTGAAATAGTAAAGTTTTAAGGATTGTGGGTTTCAATTAAGGGCCCTCTTTTTTTTTCAGAGAGAGAATTTTAATATTTATTTTTTTAGTTTTCGGCAGACACAACATCTTTGTTTGTATGTGGTGCTGAGGATCGAATCCGGGCCGCACCCATGCCAGGCGAGCACGCTACCGCTTGAGCCACATCCCCAGCCCTTAAGGGCCCTCTTAATAGGAACACAGGTAGACAGGAGAAGGAATCTCTCTCCTCCTGGCACTCCCCAATTCATCCCTAATCCTTTGTGGGAGAACCAATGGTGGTGGAGGAGCTCCTATGGGAAGATGAGAGTGCAATAAGTTACTTAGGAGGATATCAAGTTTGCACCTTAAATAAATGCAGTTTCTATTTGTTAATCGCACCCCAGGAGAGCTGGGGAAGGGAAAAAAATTGAAAAGAGGCCAAGGCTGCAAAAGAGTTGTATCTTAGGCAAAGTCAGTATATAAAGGTCTAGAGTCTAGTCACAGTCTAGTACTTTACCATTGAAAAGTACTTCAGAAAGGCACAGGGTCAGGATTGACATATCATTGCTTATTAAATGGGTTGCTGGTGTGGATTGTTCTGTCGAGTTGCCTATGCCATCCTTGGATCAAGTGCAGAGGTCATATTCTTGAAAAGTGTCCTAAATACCAGAATCGTACCTGGCAGGAGTTACTGACCCTGTGACAGACAGGCTTATTTCCCCTTTGTTTTGAGACCCCTCTTCCTTTGCCTTACTGTGTTGTCTGTATTTGTGCTGTATGAACCAGGGCTCTGCTTTTGTTCCTCTCTCTGGCTGAGAATTCATGGAGCCCCTGACAAAGAATAATCCCAATAGCTCTGCGTTCTGACATATTGAATTGTTAAATGTGTATTCAGTTGAGGTCCTCAAATTCTGTTTCATCACCAGGTTGCTGGTGGGAGCACCTCGGGCAGAAGCCCTTCCGCTGCAGAGGGCCAACAGGACCGGAGGCCTGTACAGCTGTGACATCACCTCCCGAGGACCTTGCACTCGGATTGAATTTGATAACGATGGTGGGTTCTTCTACCCTCGCTTGGTATTCATTTGGCCAGCCCAGCACCCTACTTGCTCTTTTCATGAGGAGGAAAGGAGAGGATGCAAGCATTTATTCTTGCAGAGAGGACCTCTGGTCCTGACTTTTTTATTTGCCCTGAAAATATTTACTTTCTGGCTCACACTGGGATGAGGCATTTTTGCTGCCTCTTCTAATCCTGGTTCCTTAACTCTTAACGGTGTATTGCCATTGCCACCTAGTGCTATATTGAGGTTCTGCAGGAGGCTGTTGGAAAACTAAATTCATAACAGTGAAGAAAATTCATTGTGTATATCTTGTACCCAAGAAGCCAAAAGTTGTCACTTGTTGTTGAAAATATTTGGGAAAAAGACTCAAATTTTTTATTTTTTTGTGGTGCTGGAAATGTAACCCAGGGTCTCACATATACCAGGTAAGCACTCTGCCAGTAAGCTACATCCCCAGCCCTGAAAAAGATTATTTTAAATATCAGACCACTCTGAGGGCTGACTAACATGGGTAAAATATGTCTTACACTCTCGGAGACTTGTTTTTGAGGATTCTGGGTGTCTAGAAGCTGCCATCATGTAGACCATGTTAACATTTAATTTAACTGGTTGAGCAGAGCCAGTGTACTGAGATGCTCCTGCCAAACCTAATTTAATGTTCTCATTCTAAATGAATATATAGATTCATGTTTATGTTCTTTATCTTATAGGAATAGCATTTGGTGTTTTCTTTTACTGATTAAAAAATAGATCCTAATAATAGAAAAACTTGTAAAATACATAGACATCTAAAGCAAAAAACCAAGAGATACTGATAACCTCAGTATTTAGTATACTCTTTAACATTTTGGCACTTTTCTTTCTATGTAAAGTTGTCTAGTTTTTATATTTTTTTGTAATGATGTAGGATTAAAGGTTGTGCCTGTCTTGTTTCTCATTGAAAGAGGCAGAAATCTGGATATAGGGTCATACCATGTGGGTTTGAGTTGATGCTGAAATGACAACATGGTGGTATTTGTGCTTTTTCTTTTTTCTGGCTAAAAAAGTACCTCTCTCTCTTTTTGGTACTGGTGAAAGATATCACTTATCAATTGTGAGTGAATCCGGTGCCTTATCTCTGTCTCTAGTAAAGAAAAGGATAATTCATGCTATTTTGTAAAAATGAGGAGTACATAGAGAAGTACTGATTTTTTGTTTGAATGGGACAGGACTTTGGAGACTGGAGTTTACATTATTGCTTTTAGGGCTACTCCTTAGCCATGCTATTTTCAAAACTTTTCTATATGCAGGGCCTTGGGTTTCAAGGGAGGGCAAAGGGGATTGTTGGGTAAAATGGGCCATCACCATTGTATAGAGAGATGTCTTTTATGTATAAAATTTTTATTTTTATTATTTTTTGCAGTGTGGGGGATCAAAGTACAAGCCTATGCATTACCAGGCTTGTACTTTGCCACTGAGCTATGCCCCTATCTATAGAAGCTTATGATACATTCTTACCAATAACTATTTCTCTGTTTTCTTGAGATGAAAAAATCATTTTTCTGTATTGACTAAATTTACTGAGTAGCTAGACTTGGAGTTAAGGCAATTTGGAAACAGTTTCTTGTATTTTTTTTCATCTGTTATTTTATAATCTGAGTCTATATAACCTGTCTTGCATCCCACAGCTGACCCTACCTCAGAAAGCAAGGAAGATCAATGGATGGGGGTCACTGTCCAGAGTCAAGGTCCAGGGGGCAAAGTGGTGGTAAGTGCCAAGAAATGGTTAATTCCAGTGCCGTAATGCCTGCTATGTGATAGCGCTGGGCTTACAGCAGTGGAAAACACAGGCAGAGCCCCTACCTCTGGAGATGCACATTATAGCAAACTTCCTATATTATAGCAGGAAGTGATTTCAAGAAGAAACCAACCATCATTTTCCCTGTGCTTCCTGATGCGCTTTGATCAAAGTCATACAAACTTTCAGATTCAAAGAACTTATCAATTAACCTTTACTAAGTATTCCTAAAACTCTAGATGGTCGTAAACAAAAAAGCAAAACAAAACTAGAAGTGGCTTCTGTCGTAGGAACATGCTAGTTTTTATAGATAAGTTATAAAAAATGTGGAAATGATCTTGAAAAGTAATATCAGGTAATTTTAAACTCTTGTTTATTCTGAATGTGCTATTCAGTTACGTGTTATACTTGACAAGAACAAGGAGGAAGTTCCTTAGAGGAGGAAGTTTATTTTGGCTCATGATTTCAGAGGTTCAGTCCATAATTGACTCCATTGCTTTGGGTCCCAGGTGAGGCAGAACATCATGAGGGAAGTACGTGGCAGAGAGAACTGCTCAGCTCATGGTGGTGGGAAGCTGAGAGAGAAGTGGAGGAGCCACGGACAAAATATATAACCCCCAAGGAATGCCCCCATCCTCTAGTTACATTCCATGTGCCTATAGTAACCACCGAGTAATTCTTTCAAATCATTAATCCATCAAATGGAGTGATCCATTAATTAGGATGCAGCTCTCATAATCCAGTCATTTCATCTCCTGCATTAATATAGGAGCTTTTGGAGGACATCTTATTTCCAAGCCATTAACATTGAACTTCTTCCAATAGAAGTTGTAGCAAAGAAAAGAAAGTTGTTAGATGGATTATGCTAGGTGGCTTTGGAACTGCTTCCACGTTAGGATATGAAGATCTTTTTGTCTTACTTTCAAAATATGATTGCTATAACAAAATTTATATAGAAAATGAGAAAAATGAACATTTTAATGAACACTGAATTTTTATAGTTAAGGGGTACATTATGGGAAATTGTTTTGGGTATTTTAAAATATTTTTCAGATACCCAGATTATGTTATGTAAAATGCCCTGTAAGGATTATAGAGATTATTTCATCTCTTCTGGTAAGATAATTCTCTCTGCCTTTTTAAAATAGACACACATCCAGAAATAATCTCAGAATGCAGAGTGTAAATTAGGACTTATTAGAAGGAAGTAGTCTAGGTAAAAAGAAAATATCTTTGTTCTAGCTGTGTTTGCTTGATTCTTTTGAAAACAAGTCCATGATTTCTTTCTTCCAGAATGTAATTATTTTCACACTGATGTAGAAGTTTCTTAGTCACTAAAAGCCAATTAAGTTAAGAAAATGAAGCAGGAAAGTGTTTCTCTTTGTTTATGTGACAAGTAAATTTACAGACAAATTGCCTGTGGATACACTGGCATTCAATATTTGGATTGAAGCATTATTCTGAGTGAGAATAAGCAGAAATCGTCCTTCTTCTATTTTTGTTAATAGACTCTTTAGTACCATTTTGGGGAAGATTTGCTGATTTGGAATATGATCCTAGGAAGAGGACATGTTTAATCATCCTATTTAGAATTGACCTCTTTATTATTGACAGTTTTTTCAACTTGTTTTTTTTCTAAAATAAGGTCTATAGACATGAATGAGCTACTTTATTCCATGTGTTTGCAGACATGTGCTCATCGATATGAAAAAAGGCAACATGTTAACACAAAGCAGGAGTCTCGAGACATCTTTGGGAGGTGTTATGTCCTGAGTCAGAATCTTAAGATTGAAGATGATATGGATGGAGGAGACTGGAGTTTTTGTGATGGCCGATTAAGAGGTCATGAAAAGTTTGGTTCTTGCCAGCAAGGTGTAGCAGCTACTTTTACTAAAGACTTTCATTACATTGTGTTTGGAGCCCCGGGTACTTATAACTGGAAAGGTATGGTGTTTGTATTTACAGAAACGGATATTAGAATGTCTGTATAATTCCTATAATGTGCATCACATTTAGTACATTTCAAGTTAAAATGTGTTATAAGGCATTTAGGTATTATAAAAAAGGATTAGGATGTTGAAATGTCTAATATGATTAAGAATGAATAATGAAAATGTCTGTTTACATTTTTCCCTCTTCTAGTTAGTATGCTACATTAGTTTAAGTAGTTAACGTAAGTCACTTTTATTGTTTTATATTTGTCTGTTTCATGAAACTAGTTTTCATTTTAAGTGATCTGAAAACTGAAAAGAATCAAGTGGTGGATACCAATAACAGTTTGAAAATAGGAACATTTCTTTCATTATACATTGTTTCAGACGACCTTGTTTTACTAATAAAAGTTGTGAGTTGTTTAGTGATATTGTTTATTATAAGGAGTAAAAGGAGACACTGGTAGGAAAAGATGAAAATACCCACATTTTCTGAGTGGATATACCTGGTCACTTCCTGTGATAGTTTAACCTCTCTGAACAAATTAAGCCACTATAGAAAATTGCTATATATATATTTTTAAAAAGCATGATGCATCTGATTCGGACATTAAACTTTTTTTTGAGAAATTTATTTAAAATTGTGTAACATTTTTACAGTTAAGAAAACCTTAGAAAAAATTTCCCTTTTCCATTAAAAAAAATTTTCCAAGTTTTAATTACAATCGCAAGTGATGCTTGAGTACATGTCCTCTGTGTGTCTGTCATTGTAACCTTGGAGAGTAATTTCCTGTGCCCACCATGCCCCCAAAAAGAGTCTTTCATGAGACAAATCATCAGGTTGCTTTGACCTAATTGAAATGACACGTTGGATTTAGAAATAGTTTTATTTTAGCAAGAAGAGATGGGAATGTTTCTCCAACGTAGAGCACTTGCCTACTATGTATGAAGCCCTGGGTTCAATCCCTAGGACCATCGAACAAACAAAACAGTGAAAACACCTGCCAATTATGTATTTTAACTCATGGTAAATATATCTTATCCATTCTGATTTAAAATATTGGCATTTTTTAAAAAGTCGTGTATTTACTGTATGAAAACTTTATAATAACTACAAGAATTTCTTGGATGAAATTTCAGTTCAAGCAATATAAAGAAATGATCCAATGTATTATACTTTTACATTATAGAAAAGCAAAATTCATTTAGGATTATAGAGAACATAAAATATCATATCAAGTTCATATCATTAAAAAATTAGTTTTCTGTAGATTTTTGTTGACTAAGTATGAACATTACATTTTTCATCTAATTTCATGGCATTATCAAGATGGTTCATTAAAATGCATGGGGCATTTTTCCAATTACTAGAACAGATTTCATTCACATAAAAATTTACATGAACATGTCTAACAACCTTTAAGGTCATGTCTCTCCTTTTCCTTTTCTTCCTCTAAATTTTCTTCCTGTTCTCTCTGATAACATTAGGGGTGTTTATTAGGAATCATTGTTTTATTTTGTTTCATCTTCATTCTTTTTGTTGTTGTTTCACCATTTCATTCCTTTAGGGATTGTTCGAGTAGAGCAAAAGAATAACACTTTTTTTGACATGAACATCTTTGAAGATGGGCCTTATGAAGTTGGTGGAGAGACTGACCATGATGAAAGTCTCGTTCCTGTTCCTGCTAACAGTTATTTAGGTAGGAATGAGTGTAGGTGGCATGCCTACCTTTTCAGACACCGCGATTCTCCTTCAGTGGGCTCTGGGTCCCTGCCCTTACAGGCTGAGATAGGACAGGAGGGGCTAGGGGCCTTGGCTGCAGTTGCTGGAGCTTAATAAGTCTTGGTGATCTGTAGGTAACCTGACTGCCTGGGAACCTTCCCTTCTGATCTGGGCTCCCTCAAAGAGGGGAGAGAAAAACTTGCCATCATCTCAAACCATCCATTCTCTCACTTTGAAGTTTGTCTCCTGAACCAATGGTGGCCTGAGGCAGGCCGTTCATGTGGCCAAGAGAAAATGTAGCTTGGGTGTTCACAGTAGGCCCATCTGCCTTCCCTCTGCCTTTGAGGCCTTTTTCTGGAGATGCTCTTAAGAACTAACTTACAGAGTTACTCATAAGTGGTAGGTCGAGACCTCCAGGTCCTTCCTCTGTGATTGCCATTCTTCAGGGGTTGGCCCTTGCGTCTGGATTGGAGCTCCTATGTCACAGGGCTCTGGCGGGTGCACAAGGCCTTCTGGGCTGAGGGTGGGCGGGACTGTAAAAGCAGCTCAGAGGACACCGGATTGTGTCTAAGTGCCAATTCCTTAACTCCTGAGGCTTGTTTGCATTACTAATGGGCGTCCTAAATTATTCCTGTGCATTATGGTAATTACACAAAGGCTTTTAAAAGCTTTAATTCTTGGGATGAGTTGACATAAAGAATAATTACTGCGCATTTCTTGAAAAAAATGTAAAAAATCTTCTAAACCTGAATAGTAACCTATTTTGAAAAAAAAAAAAAAAAGACAAAGTACCCCGATGCTAGAGAAATTATTGAAACAATGGAAGGTTAAAAATAAGGGAAAAAACCTAGAGTATGGTATATAAATAATTTGAAACAATGTGCTAATAGACATACCTAAGTTGTTCTAATGGCATAAGTATGTATGAATGGCACTATGAATTAATACTTTTGATATGTCGTTCTTTTCCCGAAGAAAACTTGCTATAAGGTGTAAAAGAAGAGGAAAATTATGCTTTCTGTTTGTTAAAAGCCTCTTGTGTGCTATACGCAGTGCTTTATATATCTAAGAATAAGTATTGCTGTCCCTTTTTCTTCTTCTTCTTTTTTTTTTTTTTTTTTTTAACTGCTGAGTGAAACTGTAGCTCAGGGAGCTTAATTTTCTAACCCAAGGCCACAACGTAAGTAATCCCTCAGCTAAGACAAGAAATCCTCCTGACAATGAGGAAGCTGGGGAGCAGCTGGTCATGTGAATAGTCTACTAGTGTCCTCGCAGGACAGGAAGGAAGCTGGGGGGGTGGGGGTCCAAGGGTTTGTAGCCTCAAGTATTAAAAGTGGGTTTTCAAGGTAAAAGCCCTTCAAGGTGAGTAGCAACAAAACAATATTTTATTTATGGTTGTGTTAACCAACAGCCTTTCTTTACATGTATTATTTAGGGATTATTTATAATGAGAAGTATTAATTTTAATCGTTCTGGTCAAGAAACCAATATTTTGGGCTTTTATGACAGATGCCTGTGGATTTTATAAACATAGTTGCTGTCAGAACATATGAAAATATGAAGTGTTTTTTCTTAAACATGTTTGCCACCTTTAGAATGGATTTCTTCCAATATGAATGTCTGAGAAAGAAATCAGTTGGTATTATTCCATTTTACTTGTGTGTTGTGTGTGAAGCTGTGGTTGAAGAGGAGAGTGGGAGTACAGTGATCTGCCTGAGGTCTGGGGAGCTGGCCGGGAGGGTAGCTCACTGGATATGGTAGCAGCCTTATCCGCCAGCCAGAATGGCAGCGGCGCTCCTGCCTGTTACCAAGCATAATGATTTTTTCTTCAATCTCTTCCATCCCGTGCATGTGTACAGGCCTGCTGTTTTTGACCAGCATTTCCTATACAGATCCCGATCAGTTTGTTTATAAAACACGGCCTCCCAGGGAGCAGCCTGACACATCTCCCGATGTGATGATGAATAGCTACCTAGGTTTGTGACCTCTGAGATGACAAATAAATTGTCTTGGTCATGGTCATTTAAAAATTTTTTTGATCCATACAGAGCATAAATCTTTTTATTTTCTATTTCATTTCAAGTGAAGCACACACAAAAAGCATGCCATTGGTTGAGGCTCTGCTGCCAGATGGTTTTCAGAGCTGGATTCAATTATATCACCCTATTCTAAACTTGTGGCTCATCATATTTTTCAACTCACAATTTGAGAACTGCAACAGTAGTGGTGAAGCTTTTCAGGAATAAAGTCCTACAGGAAGGGTGAGCTTATATTTTTCTACATCTGCCTCACCCTTATATAGAAAGATTTGCTTAATTTCAAGAAGTTTGATATGGCCATTTATTTTTGCTGGCCAGCAAATCTCAGCTTTTGTAATCTGACATCCTACCTGATGCTTTATAATTCAGTATTTCAATGTTTTCTGCCCTTTGAGCAAGAATGTAATTGATACCAGTGACAATTTACTCACCTCTATTGTTCACAGTAGGTTCTCAAATACTGTGTATCATCAGTCATGGTTTTGTTTGCATGCTTGTGTCTGAGAATTAAGTTCATCCAAAATAATGCAGTGCTATCTATGGTCTATTAATGATGCTGGCATTTGTTCTTGCCTGATTACCAAGGAGATTGATAAACATGGATCTGGGTTGCTCTCCTTTTATCAGTTTTAATATTAAAGTAGGATTTGAACTGATTCTTAAGATACACGAATACTTCATAATTCAAATTATACAAATGCTAAATAGCATAGGCACTTTTCTTTAAAAGTCTTAAAAACTCACAGAAAGCAGAGAAGTAGCCCTAGTACTTTGTTCTGGTGTCAAATATCTCAGCTCTCTAACTCCCATTATAAATATGGTAGCTGGAGGACGGTCAGGAGGAGAGCTGGGTGGGAAGCCAGAGGAGAAGATAATGATGGAATTTATCAGTGCCATATACTTCCTGAAATACAGGATTGATTCGAGAGGTTCTATTTTGTTTTTCTAGGCTTTTCTTTGGACTCAGGGAAAGGTATTGTTTCTAAAGATGAGATCACTTTTGTGTCTGGTGCACCAAGAGCCAATCACAGTGGAGCTGTAGTTTTGCTAAAAAGAGACATGAAGTCTGCACATCTTCTCCCTGAGCACATATTTGATGGAGAAGGTCTGGCCTCTTCATTTGGCTATGATGTGGCAGTGGTGGACCTCAACAAAGACGGGTAAGGAAGTAGGAGGTGATTTTAGGCTGGGAATCGTGGCTGCTTTTACCACCTTTTGTAATTCTTGAGAACAGCCATCCTTTTAGGTTAGTGGGTGTAAAGATTGTATCTGCTGCTAGATTTTTACCATCCCACCCCATCTTCATCATTTGTATGGCAGCAGATATCATTATCCTACCCAAGGTGTAGGATTACACGTTTAATGCTCAGTGTTTACTCATGTCTTGGAAACGTGGGTTCATGAAAATTAAAACTTGAAAAAAAAAATTAACTCAGAAAATGACATCTACATGTGCTTTCCTAAGGGGCCATCGAGCATCCAGAATGTCTCCTTGAAGGTGGGGATTTGTGGCCTGGGTGCAGCTCAGTATTGGAGCCCTCACAGGCTCCTGGGTTTAATGCCCAGCACCTCCCACCACCACCCAAAAAATAGGGACTGGTGACAAAGTCAATATGTAAATAATCTATGGTAACTGGTGCCAGGTAGACAGGTGTGAAGTAGTGAGATCTTTGCTGGAAATCCTGCTGAACTGTTGTAACTTGAGGAAGTGATTTTGAGTTTTTACCTTCAATACTTTTCTCGGGGTAATTATTATGGGCTACTTTGATTTTTCTTTAAAATGTTTTAACTGGTGTTACATAAATCTTGATTTGAGGTCTTATTTTATCTTTTTGTTTGTCCTTAATACTGGGCTGCTTGTATTCTCCCCAGGCTTACAGGTCTGTTAGCCAATGGTTCATAGTTCTTTCCCCTCATGTTCTTAGGTGGCAAGATATAGTAATTGGAGCCCCACAGTATTTTGACAGAGATGGAGAAGTTGGAGGTGCAGTGTATGTCTACATTAACCAGCAAGGCAGATGGAATAATGTCAAGCCAATTCGTCTTAATGGAACCAAAGATTCTATGTTTGGCATTGCAGTAAAAAATATTGGAGATATTAATCAAGATGGCTATCCAGGTAGATAACAAATTATGAGATGGTAATGATTTATAGGTAGATTATTTGGTTATTTCAGTGAATGTTTGTGTCTTCTTATTTTAAAAACATTGTACTAGAGTGTTTGTAAAATTATGGTGTTGTTGACAGATATTGCAGTTGGAGCTCCCTATGATGATTTGGGGAAGGTTTTTATCTATCATGGATCCGCAAATGGAATAAATACCAAACCAACACAGGTAACCTGGATTTCTATAAGTGGAGTCTCAGCAAAAAGTTGACCCAAGACTTCTGGCCTTGTAATATTTAAGTTTAAGTGAATTGTTTTACTTACTAGTCTGTAATAGTATGAATTTTTCTTTTTAAAAAAAATATTAAGGAAGGGAGGAGTGATTTGCATTGCTCTGATTGACTTAATATGGTAAAATAGACATAAAAATTTGCTCTTTTATCTTTTGAGATACTGTGTAAATCATGAGTCTTATGAAATAAAGTGTATGAAGTGTTATATGTTTATTTGTAATTTATTTATAATTTAATATAAAGCATAAGTGAACTCATACTTCAGTTCAAAAAAGAACTTGTATGACTTTTTTCAAAGCATAGATAATCAGCTCATTTTGGGGGCTTGGTATCCATTCTGATGTCCTTTGTATTTCAGGTTCTTGAGGGTACAACACCTTCTTTTGGATATTCAATTGCTGGAAATATGGATCTTGATAGAAATTCCTATCCTGATGTTGCTGTTGGTTCCCTCTCAGATTCAGTAGCTATTTTCAGGTTTGTTTTCTTTAACTTTGGTTAAGGATGTTCTGTAATCAAGTTCTTCTATATCAGGTTTTGACCTTTTAAATTGAAATTTGTAATACTCATGCTTAAAGGCAACAGCTTGTATAAATTTTAAAGATATTTCCTTTTTCTTTTGAGCTGGGTATAATATCATCATAGAATTACTTCTGTGAAGTCCTGTTCATTTTGAACTATAAATACACCTTTGAAACCTTTTCTTTTGATGAAAAAACAAAACATAAAACATTTGACAGTACAAAAAAAGTAAAGAAAAAAATACCCTACAAATTCACTATTCATTCTTGAACTCCAAACATTTGATTTATATTCTTTTAGTCTTATTTCCTGGTGGGATTTTTATTTACCAACTTGAGATCATAATGTATATATTGCCTGTAACCTGCTTTTGTCCACTCAGGCTGCATAGAGGACTTTCCCCATACCAGGGAGTACTTTTCTAAAATGAAATTAACAGCTTGGGAGGCCTCCCATGCCAGATTGATGATTTATTGAACCACACTGTCATTGGTCATTGACATTGCTTCCCAGTCCCACCACTGTCATGTTATAAGAAGTGGTCCCAATGCTTATGTATGTTCATGCCCTTGATTTTTTTCCCCATGACAAACTCCTCCTTAAAGTGAAATTACTTCATAGGTTTGAAGACTTGACTCAGTTTCCCCAAGGTTACCTCCAGAAAGGCTGTGACTGTGCCCATTAGCTGCTTTTGAATTTCCTTTCCCCAATGTTTTCATTGCTACTGAGAATCACTGTTAAAAAAATATTTTTAAAAATTTTATTATAAAAGCAGATTCTTATTTTAAAACAGAATTGTAGAAAGTGTGAGTTCATAAGTATTCTTATCCTCTACAAAACAACTTTTAGCAGTTTTGAGTATCTCTGTATATTTAGGATCTTCAAAGGCCATATTACAACTGCTTTTCTCTGGTGTGTAAAAATGTCATGTCTTTTGGGTACTTTTCCTTGTCAATACAAACATATGTACAGACATGTAATATGACTTAATATTAATCCATCATATGCAGTGGATTAATCCTCAGTTGATAGAAAATTTTAGATAGTCTGATCTTTATTATAAACAATATGCGCACATACACACACATACATACATACATATATAGTACATTGTTCATGGACTTTTGTTTTTTAATAAAAATTCCTAGAAATAGAATTCTGGGAATATAGGTTAGCATTTTTTGCATTAGTACATACACCTTCAGATAAGGTGCAACAGTTTCTGTTCATGGAGAGGGCCTGTTTTCTCACAGCCTTACCAGTGTTGAATATAATGCACCTAATTTTTGCCAGTGTGATAAATGATCTCACCTTTTGATGTAATTTGCATTTCTTTGCTAGTGAAAATGAACCATTTGGATGTTTTGTTAGCTATTTGTCATTATAGTGGTTTTCATTTCTTAAAAAGTAACCTTAGAGAAATGGGCAGTAATATATGGTAAAACTTTAAATTAGAAAAGCTGTGTTCTCTGTATACTGGGATGCTTTCATTGCCCTGTATTCTTTCAGAAGATTTCCAGGTATAGGCACAGCCACCACACCTAAAAGATAATCCCTCAAAGCCCCAGAGATTAGAAACCAACCCCAGGACAGTTTTTGTTTGAGATGGAGTTTCATTATGTTGCCCAGGCTGGTCTTGAACTCCTGGGCTTAAGCCATCCCCCTGCCTCAGCCTCAGAGGTTTGCAATGCTGCACTGGGCTCCAAGGATGCTTCTGAAGAGACTGTTTTGATGCAGTGAAAGAAAAATCAATTTCTGGTTAAATAGCAAGAGCTAGGAAAGCTGTCTCATGAAAACTTAAGAACCATGGAAATGAGTTACAGATGGCAAAAGTACAAGACATCAAAATAAGTGGAGAAGAGGATGTGAGGAAGAAACCAAAGTTAACCAAATACATGAAGATCTGTATGGGACTTGGGAGGGAAAGAGCATGGGGGAGAGGAGGCTACATAGATGGTGGCTTGTGTTCTTGGTGATGAAGTCTTGAGAGCCCCTTGACCTTGCGATCCACCATGCTGGAGAGCAGAGCAGGTAGCACTGTGTGTCCCCCCAGGTTAACATGCTCAGGAGGGGTTCCGCAGCAGTCCACAGACGCTGCCTTTACATGCATGCTTCTCTCTGCTCATGGAGGTATTAGCCTTAAGGTAATTCAACATTTTTAAAAGGGAGAGTTTATGACATTCAACTATTTTAGCAAGCTTTTTAGGTAAGGTGATTCAAAGTTCTAGTGTGAGGTATCCAACTATCAAAGACACTAGACGACTTTTGCCAATAATCTCATTACCGTGTTTTTCGATAAATAGGTAACCAAACTTTAGATAAGAATTTGCCTCTGTCTAGGTGTAATTGATATTTTACCGTCCTTACTTTGCTGTCCTCATAACTAGGTTGGTGATTAAACCCTATTAACTTGTTCCTTCTTTCTTCCTAGATAGTGTAAAAGCAAATTTCAAAACCCTTTGGTAACAAGAGAACCAATACTCTTATTTTTCAAATGAAGAAACTGAGGCCCAGGACTTGCTTGAGCTTTTAAGGCTGGGTCCTTAGAGAACAGGGTATAGTATCTAAATATTCCCAACCTCAGTCCTATTAAATTGTACAAGTACTTCAGGGTATTTAAACACTGATTAAACATGAGGCAGCCAAGTAAGATTTGCCTTATGTGTTAGACACATTTTTTTTTCACTTTTATGTATAGTGCCCTCAAAACTATATGTTGTCTGTTTAAAAAACAGAAGTTAAAGTAAGCCTAAGGCAGAAATGTGTTAAAATATTTTAGAATTTATGCCACACTAATGCTTTAATGCTATGACATGTAAAACACTCTACATCTGTGGCTACTGATTTTAAAATACAGTAAGAAAAAAAATGTGTGAGTTTTTGCCTTTTAAATATGCTCTCAAAACTCAAAAATATATTGAACTAGTGTCTTGGAAACCAACAGCTAGCTAAATATAACAAAAAAAGAGACAGGAAAATGGAGAAACAGGAAATATAGGCAGTATTTTCCCTTTTACTGGTCCCTGTCTTTGCCCTGAATGGACTCATGCCCTATCCAGCCCATAACATAGATTGATTCCAGAAGTTTAAGCTCACTGTTTAGGATTTGGAACCCATTTTCCTATAAAAACACTGTTCTCCAGGATGGCTAGATTTATCACAAGCCCACAAAAATCATCCTTGCTGAATCCATTGACATCTTCTGAGTTCTGGCTAGGGAGCCATGGAGGTGAGCAGGATCTTCCAAGCTCACCACGGACTGGTATTTCCTGTGGTGGTGATGGAGCTCTGACTCATGGTGACCTCTTTGACTGTCTTGAGCAGGGAGGAATACTTAGGGAGAAAAAAGATGTTTCACATAGTGAGCAGGACAAAGGTGTAATTCCCCAGTGCTGTTTGTGGGTTCCAGGGGGAAGACAGATGGGAATAGGTGGAGGGATTCGAGTGTTTGCTCAGAGTTATTGTGGGGCTAGGGAAGTCGTATGACTATACCTTCTTAAGGTTGTGGTGGGATTTTCAGGAGAAGGATAAAAGAAGGGCAAATGTTTATAAGATGGAGATTAAAAAGTTCAGGATTGGCTGTATTGCTAAAATTCACAGATACATAGACTCCTTGCCAGCACCCCAGGTTTAGATGTATGTTGGTGTAAGATGTGGTGGAAGGGTATTTTGGCAAGATTACTCAGAATTAAAAATGCACATTACCTCACCCCAGTAAGAATGGCTTGGCTTTTCATAAATCAGAAGAAATGAAGTGGTGCTGGCAAGAAGGTGGAGGAAAAGGAACACTTGCACACTGTTGGTAGAAGTGTAAACTAGTGTAACCATCATGGAAAAACAGTACAGAGCGTTCCTTAAAATAAAAATAACCAGACGAGGTAGTGTACACCTGTAGTTCCAGACATTTGGGAGGCTGAGACGGGGATCCAAGTTTGAGGCCAGTCTAGACAACATAGCAAAACTCTTGTCTCGAAAAATAAAAATACAAAGGGTAGCCTGGGACTATAGTTCAGTGTCAGAGTGCTTGCCTAGCATGTGCGAGGCCCTGAGCTCAATCTCCATTACCAAACACGTGTGCAAAAGAAGAGCTACAATATGATCTAGCAATCCCACTATTGGCTCTATATCCAAAGGAAATGAAATCAGTATTTCAAAGAGACATCTGCACTTCCATGTTTATTGCAGCACTATTCACAAGAGCAAGAAATGGAAACAACCTGTGTCATCAGCTGATGGAATGGATAAAGAAAATGTGGCTAGTATATACAATAGAATACTATTCAGCCAATAAAAAATGGGAAATCGTGTCATTTGCGACTGCCTGGTTAGAACTGGAGACCGTTATGTGAAGTGAAATAAGCCAGGCACAGAAAAACAAATACTGCATGATTCCACTTGGGTAGAATCTAAAATAATTGATCTCCTGAAAGTTGAGAGTAGGAGAGTGGGGAGAGCAATAGAGAGGGATGATTGGGAGAAGTTTCTCAGTGAGGACTAAGTTCCAGTTAGGAGCAAAGAGTTGGCATGTGCTCTTGCACCATAGGTTGACTATAAATAACTAAGCTATATTTTATAAAGCTACAAGAAAGGATTTTGAATGTTTTCACCATAAATAAATGGTAAACGTTTCAGCAGATCGGTATGTGTACCCTGATCGACACATTTCACATTATACATGTATCAGAACATCACATGGGACCGTATAGAGTTTTCATATATTTATGAATTTACATATGTAGAATTATGTGTGTAGAATTTTCAAATGTTTGTTAAAATAAATTTAATGATTTACAGTAGAAGGGGTAGAGAGAGAAAAGGGGAGGGGAGGGGAGGGGGGATAGTAGAGAATAGGACAGACAGCAGAATACATCAAACACTAGAAAGGCAATATGTCAATCAATGGAAGGGTAACTGATGTGATTCAGCAATCTGTATACGGGGTAAAAGGGGGAGTTCATAACCCACTTGAATCAAACCGTGTAATATGATGTATTAAGAACTATGTAATATTTTGAAAGACCAATAATAAATAAAAAATAAATAAATAAATAAAATTTAAATAAAAATGTTTAAATGTATATATTCCTTGACTTAGAAATTCTGCTAGGAATTCATCCTACAGATGAACTCACGTGGATGTGTGAGTTTATGCTGTGATATTTGTCAGAGAAGAAAGCCAAGCAAGAATAAAGTCTACCAATTGGGACTGATTAAATAAAGAACACTGCATTGACACAGTGTAGCCATTAGCTGTGGAAAAATATGAATGAGATCTCAGTGTATACATTTGAGAAGACCTTGAGAGACCTTGAAGATGTCAGTGAATTAGGCAAAGCAGTGTACAGGACAATAAGCATAAAAAGCTCCCATTTAATTGAAACTTTTTAATATTTAATATTAGATAATATTTGTAACAAACCCATAGACTGTTAGGGGGTTTGGGTATATCAGAGGCATGATATTTGTGCCAAGACTGTGAAACTTACATGTTGTATGTATTACTCATAAGTTTGTAAATTTTAAATACTGTATAATTTTAAATATTGTATCCTTCAAGTGATATACATTTATGTCAACAATTATTGCTTTGATGATGATGAGGGAGTCACAAATGCAAATTTCTGCTGTGGGTTTTAAGATGTACCAGGACAGCTGAAAAGGCCATGTACTATGTGAATGAATCTCATATTCAAGGTAACAAAGGCTGAGCTGTTTTTCACTCCTTTGTCTTCAGGTCCCGGCCTGTGATTAACATTGCGAAAACTATCACAGTAACTCCTAGCAGAATTGACCTCCGCCAAAAAACAGCGTGCGGGGCGCCAAGTGGAATATGGTGAGAGTTACTCCAGGTTCCAAGAAGCCTGGCTCAGTTTCCTCTGCTTTATGGTGACCCTGTCGCCCTGGGGAGCCACAGGGAAGATTAAGGGCATGCTGGGCAAAGAAAAGAGCAATCTGTCCAGTGAATATATGACATTTTACTCATCAGTGGGCAGCGGGGGGATTGGAGAGCTGGGAAGAGTGTTGTTTTTTTTTTCCTGCTTCAGCAATACATCTTTTAAGAAATACGTGTTTGATTTCATACAGCCTCAAGGTTAAAGCCTGTTTTGAATATACTGCCAAACCCGCTGGTTATAATCCTTCAATATGTAAGTACCTAGTACATTAAAAAAATATATATTCTCTCTCTGCCAGATTGAAAATTCTACAAACATCACAGAAAAACAAAACTGCACTGTCGAAAGTGGGTCCATAAATTCTTGCTTAAAGAATTAAGTGTTTTTGTGGTTTCCCCTTTTAATCAAGAGGATGCAGCTCAGTGAGGCAGGAAAAACTCTGCATTTGGTCCCCATTTGAATTTTCCAAAGCAGATGGTTTGAGACAGAATGCCTTGGAAAAATACTTATTTGCTACCACAACGGTTTCCTCTGTTTCTGTCTTTGAAAAGCAATGTGGAAAATTGGTTTTGTGGTTGTGAGGTGGTGGGTGGTGGTTGTGGAAAGGGGCTAAGGAGCCGGAGCAGGGTGTGGCTTCGTTGCTCCTTCAAGGTCTCCTCTCAGGGGCTTTGAGGCTGGGACACCCAAGTTGTATTCCCAAGGGCAGCCCCTGCTGGTAGGGAGGGGTGAAGAGACTGAGGCTTGCTTCTAGTTTTAGCAGTGTCCCTGACCCCACAGTCCAGGGCAAGTGCCCTAACCTCTGAATTTTTATTTTCTATCAGTTATAAGCAATGCCTCTATTAGGCACCAGTGCCTGGAGTGATGGTAACCAAATGAAAATGTGATAAAGGGCTGGGCACAGTAATCCCAGCAGCTTGGGAGGCTGAGACAGGAAGATCACGAGTTCAAAGCCAGCCTCGGCAAAAGCACAGAGGCACTAAGAAACTTGGTGAGCCCCCGTCTCTAAATAAAACACAAAATAGGGCTGAGGATGTGGCTCAGTAGTCAAGTGCCCCTGAGTTCAATTCCTGATACCCACTCCCCACTGCCAAAAATGTGATAAAGGCTTTGTAGTATTCTGCCTCCTTTCTTTGTAATCCAAAATAGGATTTTTGCCACAAATTTGACCTGGCTAATTATGCTCTAAAATACCAATAGTAGCTAAGGTCTTCTCTGGTATGTTTTAGTAACAACACCACCTAAGTTTTGAGCCACCTGACTCAGCTTTAGAGTCAAGGCAAAGGCATGGGAATTTAAAGAAAATACTTTTCTGCCAGTGTGGTGGCTCTTACCTATAATCCCAGCTACTTGGAAGGCTGAGGCAAGAGGACCACAAGTTCGAGGCTAGCCTTGGCAATTTTGCAAGAGCCTGTCTCAAAATAAAAATAAAAAGGGCTGGGGGTATAGCCCAGTGCTTGCCTAGCATTTGTGAGTTCCTAGGTTTAATGCCTAGTACCACAGGGAGTTGGGGGGAGTTCTTTTTCTAAAGACAAGAAGAATGAGGTAATTTCTGTCTCAGCTCAGTGTTCTGTAATATGGACGCCACCAAGGGAGGCTTTGGGAAGGACAGGGTCAGTCTATTCTCATCTTTTTCCCTGCCTTGAGCAATGAATTCTCTGAAGCCTCTTTTTTTGTTGTTTTTGGTTGTTTTATTTTATCTATTTATTTATTTATTTGGTAGTGGGGAATGAACCCAGAGGCACTTAACCACTGAGCCACATCCCTAGCCCTTTAAATTTATTCATTTATTTATTCTAATTAGGTATATATGATATCAGAATGCATTTTGATTCATAGTACACAATGCAATGCAACTTTTCATTTCTCTGGTTGTGTGCAATGTAGCATCGCGCCATATGTACAGTCATAAATGTACTGGGGAATGATGTCCATTCCATTCCTTCCCCTACCCTCCCTCCCCTTTGCCCAATCAAAGTTCCTCCATTCTTACGATGCCCCCCACCCCGCCCCTTATGGATCAGCATCCACTTATCAGAGAGAACATTTGGTCTTTGTTTTTTTGATTGTCTTACTTCACTTAGCATGGTATTCTCCAACTCCATCCAATTTATCTGCAAATGCCATAATTTTATTTTCTTTAATGCTGAGTAATGTTCCATCGTGCGTATAGAAGACTCCTTAAGCACAAGAAATAAAATCAAGAATTAATAAATGGGATGGATTCAAACTAAAAAGCTTCCTCTCAGCAAAAGAAACAATCAATGAGGTAAAGAGAGAGCCTACATTTTGGGAAGAAATTTGTGGCACACACACATCAGATAGAGCACTAATCTCTAGGATATACAAAGAACTAAAAAAACCTAACACCAAAAAAACACAAACAATCCTATCAATAAATAGACCTATGAACTGAACAGATGCTTCTCAGAAGATATACAATCAGTCAACAAATATATGAAAAAATGTTCAACATCTCTAGTAATTAGAGAAATGCAAGTCAAAACTACTCTAAGATTTCATCTCATGCCAGGCAGAATGGCAATTATCAAGAATACAAGTGTTGGTGAGGATGTGGGGGAAAGGCACACTCATATGTTGCTGGTGGGACTGCAAATTGGTGCAACTAATCTGGAAAGCATTATTTAGATTTCTTAGAAAACTTGGAATGGAACCACCATTTGACCCAGCTATCCCACTGCTCAGTCTATACCCAAAGAACTTAAAATTAGCACACTGTAGTGACACAGCTACATCAATGTTTATAGCAAATTGGTTCACAATAGCTAAACTGTGGAACCAACCTAGATGCTCTTTAATAGATGAATGGATAAAGAAACTGGTATACATACACAATGGAATGTTACCCAGCCCTTTTTTGTATTTTATTTAGAGACAAAGTCTCACTAAGTTGCATAGGTCTTTTCTAAGTTGCTGAGGCTGGCTTTGAACTTGGGATCCTCCTACCTCAGCCTCCTAAGCTGCTGGGATTAGAGGCTTGTCACACCATACCTAGCTTGAAGCTTCTTTTTGTTATTGAAAGTATTACTCTTTTCATTTAAAAAGATGTCCCCTGGGCTGAGGTTGTGGCTTAGTGGTAGAGCGCTTACCTAGCATGTGTGAGGCCCTGGGCTTGATTCTCAGTGCCACATATAAATAAATAAATGAAGGTCATTAACAACTAAAAAAAAAAAAATAGATGTCCCTTCTAATGTACCAGAATTTAATTCATATAAACTAAGGTGGTTCTTTGAAATAGAAGAAAATAACCACACTGGGGGACTAGCGTGCACAGTGGTAAATCTTCTTACATAGATCATAACTGCTTTCTTTCTTGGTACTGGGGGTTGAACCCAGAGGTGCTTAACCTCTAAGCCACATCCCCAGCCCTTTTTACTTTTTATTTTAAAATTTTTTTTAAATACATTTTTTTAGTTGGATGGACACGATATCTTTATTTTATTTATGTGGTGCTGAGGTTCAAACCCAGTGCCTCACACATGCTATGCAAGCGTTCTACCATTGAGCCACAGCCCCAACCTCTTTATTTTTTATTTTTGAGATAGGGTCTTGCTAAGCTGTTTAGGGCCCAAGTTGCTAAAGCTGACCTCAAACTTGTGATCCTTTTGCCTCAGCCTCCTGAGTCACTGGGATTACAGGTGTGTGCCACCACACCAGGTCACAACTGTATTCTTAGGGGTACTTTTCATTCTTATTTAACTTCATATAAACGTTTCATGTAACAGTATTGAATACACCCAGTAAGAAAGCAGGAACATTTAATAAATTATGAGAAGTAACAGTTTAAATAAACATACTGTTTATAGTAGGTTTTTAAATGTCCGTCTTGACCCATTTCTCATTTTTGTAGGCCTAGTTAGCCTTCTTCCTTCCAGATTTTAATCTATCCCCAGGTAGTTTCCCCATCTCCCTTTCCACTGGGCTGTCTCCTGCTGTCCTGTCTCTGAAGGGGAACTGGCAGAACTGTGAGAAGGGCTTTGGTGTGGTGTATCTCAGTGTGCAGGGGAACTCTCTGCTCTTTGGGGCAGCCAGCCTTCGTTGCACCGCTTTTAATGACAGGACGACATACACCATGTCTCCTCTGGATCTCTCATCCTCTCGTCCTCGTTGGTGTTATTTTACCCAAATACAGTACCTTAACTTACTTTTCTTACACTTCCTGGAAAATAGGCCTTTTTCCTTTGTTTGACATGGATTCGAGAGACAAGAAGCAAGCGATTCTTGGACGGGGAGAGGAAATGGGGAAACATTTTTTATTCCATGCTGATTGCCATTTTTTTCATGCCATTCTGTTTCACTAACAAATATGAAACCTATCAGCCCTCCTTCTTCCAAATTAATCTTTTGTATAGGAGAAATCACAAGCTTTCTCCTAGCTTCAATGCGACATTTGATGCCAAGTGTTTGCTTTGACTGTCCCATTAACCAGGTGCTTATTGATGTCTCATTATGTTGGAACTTCTTTCTTTGAAGGCATTCAGAGCACACTATTTTTCATGGCTTGTACTTCCATAGTATTAGAAGCGGCTAAATAGGGCTTGCACAAAGCTGCATAACTTAATACATCTAGAATCTTCTCCCAGTATCCCAAAATGTGAGCTTATTGTTTGACCAGGATATTAAACTTGGCAGTAGCTCTCAGATGTAATGTCCCATACATACAGATATTTATAATTGAACTTTAATGAGCATTCTACTTGGCTTCCCCCTCAGAAAGTCAGCAAAAGTGACATGAATGGATTTTAAGATGACGTGGACTATCTAGAGGGCTAGGGAGGGTTAGCGTGGGTTTAGTAGATAAATGATTTTAATGCATCCCTGTGCTTTTGCAGAGCGGGCAGTTGGCATGTGAGCCTTTGTTCTGGTTCATTGTGAAGGTAGCAGGTCACTGATAAATGGATGGTGTCAGGGCTACAGAGGGCCTAAAATGGAGGAGCCTTCCATTTGGCAGCTGTGACATTTAAGAATTTTTCAGATGGACACAGAAATGACTATTAAAACTATCAGTGTTTCTAAATTTTGATTTTACATATCTGAATAGCTATCAATCATTTCAGCATAAGAATAATGTCACTGTGTGTGTAGATGTGGGGGCAGTTCCTCTCACTCCTCTTCACCTGTTCTGCAGATCATTTTTCTATCGGGTGTTCTGCTAGTTGTTGGAATGCAGTGGTGAGCTTGGTCCTGCTGCAGAAGACAGTCGGGCAACCTCAGTGTAGTGGGCAGCAGGACTGGAGACATGGGAAGTACTCTGGGTGGTGTAGGAGAGGCCAGCACAGACTAACCAGAGGAAGTGATGTCCAGTCTGAGATCTGAAGGAGTAGGGTTAGGCCAGGGATGGTGGGAAAGGAGGGAATGCAGCCAGCAGAGGAAGGGATGGGACCCATGCAGAGGTCTAGGGACAGTTGAAACCTGGGCATCTAAGTGGCTAGATAAAGCTGCCATCTCTTGTGTTTATATTAGAGACTTAGAGCTGATGATGCCTCTGACCCTCACTACATGACCCCAGCCTCCTTTTCTTCATCTACCAAAGAGACTATTAAAATAGATGCTTTTGTAAAGGTTTCTTCCATGCTGGGCATTGTGATGCACACCTGTAATCCCAGCAACTCAGAAGACTGAGCAGGAAGATCACAAGTTCAAGACCAGCCTGGGCTATTTAAAATAGTAAGACCTTTTTCTCATAAAAATAAAAGGACTGGGTAGGGCAAAGGTCCTCTGTTTCATCCCTGTTACCAAAAAGTTAAAATTTAAAAAAATTTTAAAAAGATGGCTCCTAGCCTTGCGTGAGTATTGGAATGTCAGTTGTTCATTCCTTTATTTTCTATGGTAGAGTGTTTCCCTCGGCGGCCTTCTCCTTCCCCAGCCCTTTGCACCCAGTGATTTGCTTTCCCTGCCAGTGGTTAGTGAGTGCTTAATGAATTAAGTAATTTAAGTACTGAGCCCTGAAAAACATAGTTAGCAGCTACATCCAATGACCTGAGGAAGAATGCATTCTGAAGTCCAGAAATGAGATTTTGATCATCCAAATCCTGGCTTGCCTCTTAGTTCCATTAGTAGAGGGCGGGCCGTCCTGGTGATGTTGGAAACCATTTGCATTTTGTTGACAAACAGGCCCTCCAGCAGCCTCTGCAAGAAACATCACTTAGCATCCTTTTTTTCCTTTTTTTTTTTTAAATGAAAGTTCTCATCGGACTCTCAAGACCTCTTATGTCTAATACATGTTATTTTTTTGTTTAGACAACTGTTCTTTATCAGCACTTCTTAAACTTTAATATGTATAAGATCACCTGGGGATGCTGTTAAAATGCAGGTTCCGGTTGAGCTGGCAGGAGATGCTGCTTCCCAGAGATCTTTTTTGAATAGCAAAGGCCCGAGGTCCTTGAAGCACAAACACTTTGAAGGGAAAGAGTCCTGAGGGAGTTTGGGGTGTGTTTGGTTATCTTTAGTACTCTGTAGATTCCCAAAATCCATCCACAAGTGATTGATTCTTGGTCGCTGCTGCAGGAAGTTTTTGACTTATTCTGGAGCTCCCCCAGGTGGCCCAATGGAAATTTAACTTCAAGACATTGCTGACAACAGGGCGAAGGAAAAGACAGCTTGATTCTAAACAGCACAAATCTTTGAAATGTATCTGACCAGGAAATATGGAGAGCAGCAAAGACACTGATAAAAAACCATTATGAGGAATTAAAATATTTTAAAAGGAGGTCAACCCCCTTGCAGCCGGATGGTACACGAGCATGCTTTAAGTTAATGTAATTTTGTTAACTTTTTCTAGCAATTGTGGGCACCCTGGAAGCTGAAAAAGAAAGAAGGAAATCTGGGCTGTCATCCAGAGTTCAGTTTCGAAACCAAGCTACTGAGCCCAAGTACACTCAAGAACTGACTTTGAACAGGCAGAAGCAGCGGGTTTGCATGGAGGAAACCCTCTGGCTGCAGGTGGGGACTGTGATGGTCACTTTGGCTTTTACAGAGGGGAGCAGTTGGGTTTTATGGCCACACACATAGCTTTTTTGAAATTGAATCTAGCAGCCTGTTAATCAACACACAGTCATCATTTAGGAGGAGTTACCCTCTTGCGTTTTCACCATGGTTAGCTTTATCGCTGCGCACTTTGCAGGAAAACATCAGAGACAAACTGCGTCCCATCCCCATAACTGCTTCCGTGGAGATCCAGGAGCCCAGCTCTCGCAGGCGAGTGAATTCACTACCAGAAGTTCTTCCAATCCTGAATTCAAACGAACCCAAGATGGCTCACACAGATGTAAGTCTCCCCGAGTATGGCTTTGCCAGTGTTGCCATTTTCATGATGCTAAATGCAATGGAACCCTGGATGGCTTTTAAAAGCCCCTCCTTTGTATTTATATCCTTTTTTAATATATGCAAAGAAGACTTGTTTCCAAAATTAGCAATGAATAGAGAAACTTGTGAAATATAATTTGAGGCCAGAGAGTATTTGTCTTCATGATTTTGGGCCACTAAAATTTTTTGAGACTGGCATTGAAAGAGCTTATGTTCGAAGATTTTTTCTCTTGTAGCTGTGTGTAGAAAGAAAAACTCATTGGGTTTTACCATTAGGAACAGTAAGACAGAAAACAAAGTACTGTTAGAACATCAAAATCAAGGAATATCAAAATTATGCATGGCAAAGAAGTACTCGCAATGAAGTAATCACTTAGGGCCTAATGCAGCCTCGGTCATCTTAGAAAGAAAAATATACATTATATGGCTCGATGGACACTTCATGGGATCCTCATGAGGTGGGATCTGTTTGCTAGGGCTTATACTTTTGAATAATTTGTGTGCTTTGACGTTATTACTTGTTATCAGCCAGTATTTCTTGTGTATATTCCCAGATCCATAGTTCTGTTAAATATAAAGGAAAAAAGACAGTTTTCCTGATTATGGAGCAGTGTGATTATTGAGTTCATTATCAAACACTGTGCTAGGAACCCTGCCACTTGCCTTCCTAACCTTAAACTCTCTTCCTTCATCTCCACTGCGGAGCTCATGATACTGGGACCTTTTCTTCCTCAGTGATCTATTATGAGGATTGAGTTTAAATATATCAACGATGTGTTAGCTGGCACCATCATTGTTTTTGATAATTCTTCCTACACATGGGCTAGAACATAGGGTGGTAGTGTCTTCAGTGGACCCATTATAAAACTTCGATTCTGAAAGGTTGGGTATTGGCCTCAAGCCACACAGCTATGGCTCAGCCAGGTTTTCTGTGGTTCCACTCACTGCCCACATTCTGCTGCTCCAGGCTGCCTGCCCGCCCGCCTGGCCAGTGTTTTGGTAAAGGACCAAGCAGGAATTGACTATATAGCAAGGTGTGTTTGAATTCTGTCCGTGGTCGTCAGCACTCAGGCAAATGGATTGTATGGGAACCGTTTTAGATGCCTGTCTGGCTTTCTTTTCCTACAGGTGCACTTCTTAAAAGAGGGATGTGGAGACGACAATGTATGTAACAGCAACCTTAAACTAGAATATAAATTTTGTACCCGAGAAGGAAATCAAGACAAATTTTCTTACCTTCCAATGTAAGAATCGCCCTATAGCACTAGCAAAAGTGACTCTGGCTTCTAGGTGGCCTTTTGTTAAGAAAGGGTTACTAAGGCGCTGGGTTGTGGTTCGTGGTAGAGCACTTGCCTAGAATGTGTGAGGCACTGGGTTTGATTCTCAGCACTACATATAAATAACTGAATAAAATAAATGTCCATCAACAACTAAATAAATAAATAAGGGGGAGGTTACTAAAAGGCTGGGGCTGGGATTTGGTGGTAGAGATCTCGGTTAGCATGCATAAGCCTGGGTTTGTTCCATTTTCAGCACCACAAAAGAAAAGTGAGAGTTACTGTGTGTGTATTGATGACTTTCTCCTTTTTGTCGTTGTTTTTTTAATAGTCAAAAAGGCATACCAGAGCTAGTTTTAAAAGATCAGAAAGATATTGCTTTGGAAATAACAGTGACAAATAGCCCTTCCAACCCAAGAGATCCCACAAAAGATGGTGATGATGCCCACGAAGCCAAACTCATTGCAACGTTTCCGGACACTTTGACCTATTCTGCTTATAGAGAGCTGAGGGCTTTCCCTGTAAGTATTTTCTGAGACTAGCTGAGAGGGAAAAATCAACACCATGGGGCACAGGATCCTGCTGTGACCTGGGGCATTTTTCTGTTACAGGAGAAACAGTTGAGTTGTGTTGCCAACCAGAATGGTTCCCAAGCTGACTGTGAGCTCGGAAATCCTTTTAAAAGAAATTCCAGTGTACGTGATGCCTTTACATATTGCATTTTACAGTTCTAAATACCATTTAAGTGCCCATATGCTTGGCCTGTGTTAATAGCTATTTATTTTTTTAGGTTACTTTTTACTTGATTTTAAGTACAACTGAGGTCACCTTTGACACCACAGATCTGGACATTAACCTGCAGTTGGAGACGTAAGTTTATTTCAACCTTCCCATTCAGAATTATTTTATGAAAACCCTGGCTGTCAATGAATTGGCACCGATCTAAGCCATAAAAGAAGTATAATTGAAATGAGAAAACTGACTGTTAAAATAAAACCCTATTGTTTCCTTTTCATTTTCAGAACGAGCAATCAAGATAATTTGGCTTCAATTACAGCTAAAGCAAAAGTGGTTATTGAACTGCTTTTATCGGTCTCTGGGTAAGTGTTTGTGTTTAGCATAACAAATCAATGTTTGAAAGAACCATTTACAATCCTTACTAAAACTGATGTTTTTTAATTTAACAGAGTTGCTAAACCTTCCCAGGTGTATTTTGGAGGTACAGTTGTCGGGGAGCAAGCTATGAAATCTGAAGATGAAGTAGGAAGTTTGATAGAATATGAATTCAGGGTAAGTTGGAGCATTTGGGCCTTTTCTTGAACTAGAACTAACATATCCTAGATGTGGTCTTGAATAGGTAATTTTAATAAATAATAATAAATACTCAGTTAAACAATGAACTTGCCAGTTTTTAAACAGCAAACTGGCTTACAGTAAAAACTTTATCCTCCAGAATGGCAAACAACTGTCACTCACCATAGGCCTTTGGCTCAGAATCCAGTACAGTACAGTTCTTTTTAGAGAGTTCGTTTTTTTTGTTTGTTAGGTATGGTGGTGAAGGGATTCAACCCAGGGGCATTTAACCACTGAGCCACATCCTCAGCCCTTTTATATATTTTTTTATTTAGGGAAAAGGTCTTGCTGAGTTGCTTAGGGCCCAATTAAGTTGCTGAGATGGTTTTGAACTTACAGTCCTCCTGCCTCAGCCTCCTGAGTTGACTAGAGAATTTTAATATGTGGTATAAAGTAAAACTTTATTTTCCCCAGAGTCTATAAAACAAAAACCTCAGCTGGGCATGGTGGCGCATACCTATAATTCTAGCAACTTGGGAGACTGAAGGACAAGTTCAAGACCAGCTCCAGCAACTTATCGAGACCCTAAAACCTTAGTGAGACCCTGTCTCAAAAAAAAAAAAAGTTGGGGCTAGGGATGTGGCTCAAGTGGTAACACGCTCACCTGGCATGCGAGGGGCGCTGGGTTTGATCCTCAGCACCACATAAAAATTTAAAAAAGATGTTGTGTCCACTGAAAACTGAAAAATAAGTATTAAAAAAATTCTCTCTCTCTCTTTTTTTAAAAAAAAAAAGTTGAGGGGACATTAAATAAAAGACTGGGGATGTGGCTCTGGTTTAACAACCCTGGGTTCAATCCCTGGTATCCCCCTCCCCGTAAAAAAAGAAAAATCTCGAAGTAGTTCATCTTTAGAATGTTATAATTTATTTATTCCTCCCTGATCAGGGCATCTTTCTTATTGCTCATGGTTGAAAGAATGTTAATGTTTGCTTACATCTTACAAGGCCCAATTTTGTGATGGCAAGTTTAGTAGATTTGGCATATGCCAATAAGGAAGGCTAATGGTTATCTCTGGACCATTTCAAAGTAGGCAATCACAGTGACTCTATGTCCAGTTGCATGAACATATGAAATCCATTCATGACTCAAACATGGGTTTTTATCTGTGTGGCTCAAATCACATTCCTAAAAACACAGTGAATGTTGAGGTGAAAGTCTGGAATAGCAAGAATGAGCCCACCCCTGGCAGGATGAAGAGAGTGAATTCTCCACTGGTTTCTCTTAGCCTTACATAAATAATTGAGACAGAAACTGGAGGTGCTTATGACCTCCCTTCAGGTATGGCTGGGAAAGAAGTCCACAAATGCACACAGGACTTTACCCTAGGCTTGTTGAGGACATGGCAGATAAACACCACTGATGCTGTTGTAGACAACAGTTGATCCTGGATTAAATTAGCAATCTCTTTGACCTTTTCTCCCCAACTGTTGACACAGTAATATTTAAGCACAAATCTGCATTTTGCACACTCTATCCATAGTCCATTTTTGGAACCTTATTATGTTATGACAGATATTTTAGCATTTTTTTCCTCTGGCAATAGGAGGTGCTACTTAATTTTACATTGAAAGGATTTCATTGAGATAATGTGTATTATTTTCCAACAGGTGATTAATTTAGGTAAACCTCTTAAAAACCTTGGCACGGCAACCTTGAATATTCAGTGGCCAAAAGAAATTAGCAATGGCAAATGGTTGCTTTATTTGGTGAAAGTAGAATCCAAAGGATTGGAAAAGATAGTGTGTGAGCCACAAAGTGAAATAAACCTCCTGAACCTAAAGGTATGTTGGTGGGTTTATCTAACATCTCCCTGTTTGTAAATAAAAGAAGCTGACTTTTTAGGGGTAAATCATGACTCTCCTTAAGAAACTAGCATTCTGGCAAGTTGACTTTTCTTTGGTTGTCATAATTTCTCTTTTATAGTTTAGAAACCAAGTCAGGCTGAGGCATTTTTGCTGACCAGTTACCATTATGATGTGTAAGGCAGTGCTTATTGGGACAAATGACTTTTTTTTTTTTTTAAATACAACCCAAAAATGAGATATAAGGAGGATTAGGACATACTCCTGGGGAGTGAACCAGCCAGTATAACCCCAAGGAGGATCATTAGGAACTCATCACCAAAGATATTGGCACCTTAGCAAATGACTTGGAAAGCTTCTTTTTCCTTTTTTTTAAATCGAAGCCTGCCCCTCTTTACCCTTCTCTCTCCTGCTGCACACTATTATAACTAGCCTGTTTATGTTCCAGCTTGATGAAGATTGGCATTGTCAATGCTGCCTGTTTCTTTCATTTTAAATTCTTGGGCGACTGGGTGTGATCCGTGTTCTTAGTTATAGTGTTTTTAGTGATAGCATGCTCCCTTACTCATCAAACAAAATGGCCCCGTCATTCCTATTCTTTATTACAGGTTGAATATCCCTAATGCAAAAATTGAAAATCCAAAATGCTCCAAAATCCAAAAAAACTCCTCCCAAATCTGAAACACTTCTGGTCTTAAGCATTTTAGATAAAGCAAACCCAGCCTGTATAAGGAAAATTGATTTTAAAAACTGATACATGGCTTAGTTTTTCAGGATCTTTCCTGAAATGATCATATAATAGGTCTTTTTGCTTCTTTTTCTGTTCTTGAGTTTCATGTAGTCATTCCAGATGTGCTGTCTACCATATGTTAGGTACTGAGCTGGGTGCCAGGGATACAGCAACAGGACTAATCCCTGATCTCAGTAGGTTCATGGTTTGGTGCCACTTGCTCACATTTTGGTAGGGACACAGGGACAAAGGAAGCATCTTTCTCTTTCCCTGAGTGTAAAGGTCACAGTAAGAATAAAACACTTAAATAGTCCTATGAATCTATCAGTGAACTGAAGTCAGGGTGGACATAACACTGGTTTTTTACTTTGGGAGAGGGATGAATATTAATTGTTGATTATATGAATTCAGCATTATTTGGGATGTTTGCATAGTAATGAAAAAGAACTACATCAAGCGGAATTACTTTGGATATAATTCTTTTTAGGAGTCTCAAAACTCAAGAAAAAAACGGGCAATTGCTGAAAAACAGATTGATGATAGCAGAAAATTTTCTTTATTTACTGAAAGAAAATACCAGACCCTGGTGAGTGTTTTTCCAGAGCTATGAACACAAGACAGAGGATGGGGGCGGGTGGGGCTTTCCTGGATGGTGGGTTCTGACCATGTCCTCCTCCCGCTCTAGAACTGTAGTGTGAACGTGAGGTGTGTGAACATCAGGTGTCCTCTGCGTGGGCTGGACAGCAAGGCCTCCCTTGTTTTGCGCTCAAGGTTATGGAACAGCACATTTCTGGAGGTATACCCCTGCCATGAGGTTGTCCCCAGAAAGTCATTTGCCACCACCTAGGACATCTGTCACTTTTTTAATAACGTTCACTGTCTCCCATCAGGAATATTCCAAACTGAACTACTTGGACATTCTTGTGCGAGCTTCTATTGATGTGACTGATGCCGCTGAGAATATCAAGCTGCCAAATGCAGGCACCCAGGTAAGATGCTCCCGGCTATACTCCTGCTTAGAGCCCACAGCCTGGGGTCATGTTCTTTGGTCTTTTATCCCTTATAACCCTGTTAGAGAAAGAGGGGGGAGAGAGAGAGAGAATTTTTTTATATATATATTTATTTTTAGTTTTCGGCGGGCACAGCATCTTTGTTTGTATGTGGTGCTGAGGATCGAACCCGGGCCGCACGCATGCCAGGCGAGCCCGCTACCGCTTGAGCCACATCCCCAGCCCAAAACAAGATAATCTTAAGGTTCTGCCACCTCACCCTGTATTTGTATAGAATCATTGAAGTAAATCTGGGGTACACCATTGAGCAGGACCTATGGCAGATTTGAGAGCTTTGGCTGGTGGATATACTTGTGGCCCTATAGCAACCCAAGTCTTAAGCCATTCCTCATGCTGCAGCCCTTCTTGGAACCTGTGCCAATTGTGGCCAGTTGTGGTTACTTGCAAAGACCTCTTCATATGAGTCCAAAACTGAATGTTGTAAAATAAGGCATTAGTTTTGCCCCTTGAAACAAGTCTAGAATAAATTCTGTATCCCAGCCATGTAACAGCCTTTCCAATAGTTAAAGGCAACTGTCCTGCCTCTTTGGACAGGCGTCTCTTACTCTGTTTCAGAGACATGCACCCATTTTTTCAGTTATGCAGGACACAGCCAGATGGGTTCCTGGCCTGTCCCCTTCCTGGCCCACCCTTGTTGGCAGTGTGATCCCACATGGACAGGGCAGCTGAGCTGCGGTCTACTCTGTTCAGCTTACCCTGAACCTTTACCTCCCACCACCTCAATACCATGCTTCTGTCAGTCCAGCCTAAAATGTGATTTTTCAAACATTTGCTGAGGAGTGTATTTGAATTTCTGGCAGCTGCAGTTTTTATGTTGTAGTCTTCTGAAATTTCCAGGTGGTTTCATCAGAATTTGTTGTCAAGTTATGTTTCCTGCAGCTTGTCTCTGAGCAGTTTGAAACAAATCTAAATGCACGTCTTTAGATGTGTATTCACATTTTATGTGATTTGCTTCTGGTCCATTGTTTAAATTTGTAAAGTAATTTTGAATCTTGCTCATTTGCTGTGTCAACTTTCTATCCCTGGAAACTGTCTTTCAGAACTGAGCAGGAGGACTGGGGTTGTGGGGTAGAGCGCTCACCTAGACAAGCGAGGTACCGGGTTCAGTACTCAACACCACATAAAAAATAAATAAATAAAATAAAGGTATTGTGTCCAACTACAAAAAAAAAAACCTGGGCTGGGGTTATGGCTCAGTGACAGAGCGCATGCCTCACGTATGTGAGGCACTGGGTTCGATCCTCAGCATAAAAAAAATAAACAAAATAAAGATATTGTGCCCATGTATAACTAAAAAAAAAAAAAATTAAAAAAAAAAACTGGCAGGCTGGGGTTGTGGCTCAGTGGTAGGGCGCTTGCCTAGCACGTGTGAGGCACTAGGTTTGATTCTCAGCACCACATGTAAATAAATAAAATAAACGTCATTGACAACTAAAAATATTTAAAAAGAAACAAAAGAGCAACATGCCTGCTATGTCTTCATTCAGGCAATTAATAGAAATACTGAACAGGGCAAGGAACAGAACTCTGTGGTGAACCACTAGTGAGGGGGGTTCCTTGTCGAGGGTCCAGAATCCATAAGGACTCCAGATAAATGACTGCGTGCCAGGGTGGGAATCATGAATGGGAATGCTTTGCAAAAGACTCCCCCAAAACGGAAGATTATGAATTGCCACTGTTGTATTTGTCTGCAGATTTGCTTATGGAAATGCTCTGGCTTTGGTTATTTAGCTAGCTGAAATTTAGTGAGTCTCCCCTGATCATTCTGGCTTCTGAGATATAGTGGATATCCTAATAATTTATCATCCAAACCAGAATGCATTTATATTGGAAAAATGCTAAACTGGGCAGGACACTGGAACAAGTGGTATAAACCAGGGCTGATACAGGTGCACCAGGACGTATGGTTACCCTGGGTTTCAGTTATTTCTGCAAGTTGCTCCAGTCTACCTTTTTGCATCTTGTCATCAATAAGGCATCCTAAAGGACTTTTCAGATAAGCCACACTCCCCCTGAGAATTTTTCATCTGCATCTTTGACCAAGGGCAACTGTTAGTGTCCTGCAACTCTAAATCAGCAACTCCAAGAATCACAAGAGTTTAATAACTCTTCCAGTTTTAATAAACTGGAAAAAGGTAAAGACTTTAAGATGGAAGAGACTGACATTAATAAAATGTCCATAATGTACCAGATACTTTATTTGTTTAGACTTCAGAAGAATACCAAGGTAGACATTGTGCTCATTTTACAACAAGGTTGCAGACTCGGAGGATGTAACTTAAGAGTTCTGGATTAAACTCATAAATGGTTTCAGGGCTCCTGTCCTCGGACTCTGTAACACTTGGTCACTATTAAGCCCTCATATCTCAAATTCAGAACAGAAACAATTGAAGGAAAGTTGTTCCTCCTCTGAGGTCACATGACCAGCAAATAGAGTGGAGACCAGGTCTCAGGTCTCAAGAGTCTTCCAGGTGATGGAATTGGGGACCTGGTGTCCAGTCTGGATGGTGAGTCATGAGTGAGGAGGAGACTGCCTTGGGAATTTTGTTCTTGGGACTTGGAAGACTCCAATGGGAAGTGGAGTTTTGGCGTGATACTGCTTTGTTGAATAATTGGTAGATTTGTAAATGGATTACTAGTCTCTTTTATCTAAAGCCTATTTCTTTTGAAAATTGAGACATTTTTCTCATCTCTAGTCTTCTGATATCTCCCCTATTTTCTGTGATTTCTGAGATACAATAGCTCAGATATCATGCCTATACTTTTCTTTAGTATTTTAAGGTGCAGTTTTGGGGCCTGAAGATTTGAGCTTAATTCAAGTGTCAGACTGTACTTCCTTCTTTATTCCCTTACTTATTATGGGATGCAGTTTCATCTTCATCTTGGTTTCATCTCTCCTTTCCAATCTGAAGATTATTTTCTTTGGAGATAAGCATAAAAGGTGGTATATTTGGTCTTCTTTTTGACATTAACATCAAAACAATTTCTCACTGCTTTTATTCTAATGCTATTTTAAAAAGTAATAAGAAAAAGCCTTTTCTTTATTACCCAAGATGTTTCAATAAAACATTTTTATTTTTATATTAGTACTGTCATAACAGAATCAGAGCCAAAATCACACAGTTGAACTAGATAAGATGGTTCCATATTAACAATTAAATTAAGTCCATGCAGTTAAGCACCTGTTAAGGACACACGTGACTTCTCTGTGCTGCATGCTAGAAGCAAACTTGAATAAGATACAGAGTCAAGGATTTCATGATCTGGATGATCGAACCAGGAGAAAATTGTTGAAGCAGGCCAAAGAAGGAGGGATTGTTTGTTAAGGGTGTGTGTATTTCCTTCCACTTCATTCCTAAGGAGGTAGGTAGAGAGTATCAGAGCTTCCTGGCTGCCAAATATAATAGAAAATATTATAAGTAAAAGTAAGTACCCCCAGCCAGGCATGGTGGTGCACACCTATAATCCTGGTGGCTCAGAAGGCCAAGTTCAAAGCCAGCCTCAGCAACTTATCAAGGAGCTAAGCAACTTAGCAAGATCCTGTCTCTAAATAAAATATAAAACAGGGCTAGGGATGTGGGTCAGTGGTTAAGTGCACCTGGGTTCAATCCCTGATACCTAATAATAATAAATAATAAGTACTCCATTCTTCATGAGAATTAGATTTCCTTTTTTGCTTTTAAGTTTAGAGAAGACCTTGAGATATATATCTTTTATATATATATATATATATATAAAATTTTCACATATATATATGTATTTTTTAGTAGATAGACACAATACCTTTATTTTATTTATTTTATGCGGTGTTGAGGATCAAACCCAGTGACTCACACATGCTAGGCAAGTACTCTACCACTGAACCACAATCTCAGCCCTGAGATATACCTTTTATAAGATGAGTTCTTATATGAGGAACATTCACTAAGAGTGGATAGTATCTTTAATAGAGAGCCTTATAAAAGATATGAAAATCCCTTCACCAGGTGATTTCTTGTTCTGATGTTCAATAAGAATTGAGAGCATTACATTATAGAGTAATTCACCAAACGTATTTTGGCAGTTGGTAAGCTAGTGTAGTCTTTGCACTGCTCACTAATGTGGAATGTAAAGTATCAATAGGGCTTGAGCTCTTTCCCCTTATGGATAAGGTTCACATGTGTAGGTCACCCTAGTGAAAATGCATACATTTTAATGGTACCAAAGGAGACGTTGTTTTTGGAGACATTACACTCTACAGTAACTTCTACTTACCTTAAGCTATCCTTGTTCATTAGCAACAGTTACAGTGACAAAACAAAATTTCTCAGAGCTGAGGATCATAGCCCATAGTTGGTTTCCCCTTAACTTGGTCCTGCAGCCAGCTCCCCACATCTTCCCATTCCCAGCTGGAGTGACTATCATGCCAAAAAATCCCTTCAGTTGACAAAGTAAACTAACAATACCTGGCCTCTCACCTTCCCTGTTCCAAATCACATCTGTCCTTTAAATGTGTAGCTAGCCCAGGTCCTGACTTGAATCTTCACTCTTTGATACCCAGAGAAATGTTTTGTTTTGTTTGTATAATATTTAAAGTCTCCCAGTTCTGGTTTGAAGAATGGCTAGACCTGGGCTTAGTGATTCTGCTGGATCTCGGCCCAGGCTACAAAACCAAAAATTACCTTGTTTAACCCTATTGGACAGCAGCCATTGATGGACATGGTTTCTCCCATCCTGGGATGTTTTAAAGGCACTATGATGTAATTATCATAGGCTGATGCCCTTGCCACAGACCTGTCCCCACTCTCCACTTCAGATTTATCAGAATTTATTCTTATAAATGAGACTATCCAGTGATCATCTTGCCCCAAGGACACACTCTGTCTTCCCTGGGCTAGGTACTTAAGGAGCAAGGTTAAATGAGGTCCAGCCTAGGCTGGTGGAAGTCATCATTTTGTTGTAGTCGGCTTACAGCCTTACCAGTATGTCTTACCAGTGTATACTAAATTAAGTCCATGTAGTTAAGCACCTGTTAAGGACACATGTGCCTTCTCTGTGCTGCATCCTAGAAGCAAAATTGAATAAGATACGGAGTCAAGGATTTCATGATCTGGGTGATTAAACCAGGAGTGAATTGTTGAAGCAGGCTAAGAAAGGAGGGATTGTTTGTTAAGGGTGTGTGTATTTCCACTTTATTCCTAAGGAAGCAGGTAGAGAATATCAAAGCTTCCTGGATGCCAAATATAACAGAAAATATGATAAGTAAAAGTAAGTATCCCCATTTCTTCTTTCTTCCCTCTATTGATGCCCCTGACCTGGACCCAGCAATCTCAAAAAAGGGTTGTTTGGGCTTAAAGCCGGACACCTAAGAGATGAGGGGAGGGGACATAAGAGCCATGATGTGACCTTGGATCTGGAAGCTTGGGGGAAAATTCATCCAGAGCACACCAGGAAAAATGGCAGCTTGTGAATGTGTTATGCCTATTGTAGACTGTTGACTGCAAACTCTAGATGTAACCTCCTGTTTATTAAGTGCTTAAAAGCAGTTCTACTTTTTTACTTATTTTCTGTAAGTCACATGAGGTTGATGAACTGTTTTCTAGTGGAAGTGGGAAAAGAAGTACTTTAATGAAGAGGTTTTAAAAAATGAGTTATAGTACACTATAGAAATATTGTAGCCCAGTGTAGACATAATTACACGTTCAAGCAGTATTCAGGGTTGAAGCCTATGTCTTTCAAGTTAAGTACTCCCTGGAATTTTGTTTACCCTTTGCTTTATAGTCTCTTAGTTTGGAAACTTTTAAGCCAGCAGCTCTCTAATCATTGTAGCAATCACAGTCTTTTCTAGGCTTTGAAAAATCGTGCTTGGCATCACAAAAATCCGTTTGGATTCTACTGGACTTCCTTTAGACAGAGTGGACAAATGTGAATGAGCGCATCTGAGTGGTTGCAAAATTGCCAAAAACAACTCTTTAGGTTTCTGGATAAACACTGTTTATTTTTATAAGTGTTTGCCAACTCTCAAATGTTCGGAGATTAAGCCAGGTATGGTGATGCAGCCCTCCGTAAACTAAGGCAGGAGGATTGTAAATGCAAGACCAGCCTCAGCAACTTAGCGAGACCCTGTCTCAAAATAAAATATAAAAAGGTCTGAGGATGTAGCTCAGTGGTAGAGCTCCCCTGGGTTCAATCCACAGTACTACCAAAAAACAAAAAAGAAAAAAAAAAGTTTAAACTGCTTCAGAATGAATCCAGGGTCTAGCTTGTTCACACAGTTTTGTAGCCATTTCAGGAAATCGTATTGTTTATAAGGCCTTTCATTTCAATATCATAGGAAAAAGATAAAATGCTATCTATTATTCATGCAGTTCCATCTCTATTTGTATTTTATATCTTTAGCATCTGAGGCTTGTATGTTAATTGTGTGAAAACTGGCCCTTTTATTTTCCTTGCCAAAAGGTAACTAAAAGAAAGTGTGAACCTGTTCACCTGTAATTCAAGGGACTTGGGAGGCCAAGATAATTCAAAGCCAACCTCAGCAATTTATCGAGGTTTCAAAATAAAAAATTCTTAAAAGGGCTGGGAATGTGGCTCAGGGGTTAAGCATCCCAGGGTTCAGTCTTGGGTACTTTAAAAAAAAAAAGTGATCTTTCTCAAAAGGGTACCAAGTTAAGATCTGGAGATGTAGCTCAGTGTTAGCAAATGGAAGGTTCTGTACCTAGCCAGACAAAAAAAAAAAAAGATACTAGGTTATATAGTTGAAAGAAGATTGGCTGTTTATTGATAATTGTTAAAACAGGGCAATGAATACATGATGGTTCATTTTAGTTTCTCTACCTTTGTTTAAAAAAAAACAAACATTTTTTTAAAAAGATAAGTTGGCAAAGTAGTTAGAGCATAGGCCAGCCTTTTCTAGTCCCTGGTTAAAAGATCTTCAGGGAATATCTCTTGGAGCACTGTGATTCTACTACATTAAGAAAAAGGATCTTCACCAGAAAGTCAACTTATCTGTCCATAGACTGTTGTTCAAAATATGTTCAGAATCAGAAGTAGAACTGTAGACCCCTGGCATTAACCCACAGTTTGCTTCTTTTATACACTGTAGGTTCGTGTGACTGTGTTTCCCTCAAAAACTGCAGCTCAGTACTCCGGAGTACCTTGGTGGATCATTCTTGTGGCTATTCTTGCTGGGATTTTGATGCTTGCTCTATTAGTGTTTTTACTATGGAAGGTAAGTCATATCTAGCATTTGAGTTTCATGATACAAACTATTTCACATTTTAAAAAGGGTGAATTAATATCAGAGTATGGCTTATTTTTCTCTTTCATTGCTTCCTTTTTTCCCAACATTTTATGATGAAATTTTTCCAACATATAGTAAATTTGAGAGGATTTTACAATGACTAGCACACAAGAAGATTCTCAAATAATACATTTTGCTGTCTCATGCATATAATTTAGCATATTTGGCAAATAACAAATTTAAATTTTACTACTTTAGCATTTTCTTTACATAAAATCAAAGTCTGGATCTAAGATAAATTATTGGATATAAGATTAATCTAATTTTGTATTTCAGCTAGTTTCAACTTTTATTTAAAAAAAAAAAATTCAAGGCAGCCATTGGCGTTGGTTACATTTGCAGCTAGAGTACAAATAGAAAACATGAAATGAATGATTGTAATGTCATGTGTAGCTAATAAAAAAATAAAACATGAAATGAATGAATAGCACCATCTCAAAGGGGTCATCGTAGCCTACATCAAACATAAGCAAGGTCTGGGCTCAATGTGATGCCCATTAGAATTTGGTCTCTTGACTATATGATATATGATACATATGATATTGTCCCTCTTTCTCCCCACCAATAAACAATCTATATCATGAAAAGGGCATATGAGTTGGATACAAACCAACCTATAGATTTTGTATTATTCCCAGTGAATATCAAAGGTCTCTAGTGCCTTATCTGTGATTCCAGAAAAGGTTTTTAAGGATTGATTTACCAGAAAACCTGACATGATATGAAGAAAAGCCATGTATAGTCTTTGTCCTTTATTCATCAGTTTTACTGCAGAATATTAATATTTTTATTACAGTGGCATTATGTATGCAGCATAGTGCATTTCTAAAATGCCCCATATTCTGGACTCCTAAACACATCTGCTCTGGAGAGTTTTGGCTGAACTAATCACCTTCTAGAATCAAAGGGTTCCTTTTCCTTTCCTTGACAAGGCTTCAAGGATTTGTTTACTTTCAAATGTCAGGCATCTCTCTTTTGCTTTATTCTTCCAAGTAATTTCCTGGTTCAGCCTAAGATAATTTCCTAAGGTGCTCTAAACATGTGATTGATGCCACTGTCAGTTCATACCAAGACTCCTATTGATGGGGCTTTAGCTAGTTTTATCCCTGATGTTTACACCTCGGGCAGTGTGTTTCTCTAGTAAGTACAGCCAGCCCATGTAGGAGTTGCCATGACAATTATCATTATCTCAGAAACTAAATTTTGGGTTTGGTGTGGGCTTATGTTTTTTTTTTGAAGAGGTCACAAGGACAATCTTCAGAGCAGATCTTATTGGCAGTCTTTAATCCTCACTAAGACAAAGCAGTGGGTTGAGGGTTAAGAGACCATGCTCTGTGATTATAATCCTGGGCAAATAATTTCACCTCTCTGGGCCTCTGATTTGCCTCAGCTGTTTAGTAAGCAGATTGGACTTGGTGATTTCATTGGGGTTTTTTTGTTTGTTTTTTTGTTTTAAGCTCTGAAGTATCCAGACCCTCAAGGGGACTCTATCAGATAATTTCTCTAATCCCCACATGAAAGTAATTCTTATTACTTTATAGTCTTTCTGAAACTAAATTATTTATTTTTAAAGCCATAGAATATTATGGCCCGAAAAGATTCTGGTTCAGTGGTCTTTCAATTTGAGTTTTGTACCTCTGCATGGGTGGCACAACTAAACTAAGCAGATGGAGACCTCTACTTTAAACAGAGAAGTTCTACTTTTATCTGCTTTGCATAGGATTTTGCTAGAATATAAAAGTCTTCGGCTGATCCATTCACTTTCATTTTTTAGATCAGGGATATTAAGAATGTTGCTGCTGGCTGTGGTGGCCTATACCTGTAATCCCAGAGACTCGGGAGGCCACAGTAGGAGGATCACAAGTTTAAGGCCAGCCTCAGAAACTTAATGAGACACTGTCTAAAATTTAAATAAAAATAAAAAGCACTGGGGAAGTAGCTAAGTGGTAAAGTATCCCTGGATTCAATCCAATCCCCAAATACCCTCTCTCCCCTGCACCCCCGCCAAAAAATATGTTGATATGTTGGAGGCAGGACCCAGGACTCTTGGATCCTGATTCATTCTTCCTACTCGTTATCTATCTACTAGTACTTATTGAAAGTTGGCTAGGTGTGTTCACTGTCTATTGCATTGGATGTCATAGATAAATCTCAAGTATTCTAGTTCAACAGTGCCCAACACCTCTTTCTTTAGTAATGGAAATGTTCTGGAATGACACTGTCCAGTATGGTAGACAAGAGTCACATGTGGCCATTGAGCACTTGTAATATGGCTATTGTGACAGAATTACTGAATGTTAAACTTAAATTTGAATAGTCACATGTAGTTAGTAGCTGTCATATCATACAAAATGGATCTAGATTTTTACTTTCACTAGTTGGCAGAATTTTCCAGGAAAGATTTGTTCAGCCAAGTTTATTCCAAAGAGCAGTTCTATGACCTTATGAACTAGATAAAAATAAACAGAAAAAGTTCTCCATTCTTGAATGAAGGAAATTATAGTAGAAAGTGGAATTATACTTTTATACTTATTTAGAGTGTCCTAACCTGAGGAACACAGATTCCTACCATTTAAGGGTTATGTGGTGGTTCAGAATTTGGGAAAATGATAGCAATCATGCTTTCATGACAGTGTATTCGAAGTTGTATTGCGATTCACCCCACAGATCCAAAGGTCTTAAGTAAATGGAATTTGTTCCGTAAAATTTACTGCAAAAGGCAGAAAAGTACAGTATGTCTATATTTTATTTGGATTTGTGCTGAGTTTTACTGAGGGAATTTAGTTTCTAACCTTTGTCTCAATAGACTGTAAAAGTCACTCTTTTGCCCTTTTGGATTCTATTCTGTGAGAAAAAATCAGCCAAAACTACAATCAAACATGCATAGATTTTTCCTTTTTAGAATGATTTTTGTCCTTAGGATTTTGTCAACAAATAAAAAAAATTAGTGGATTAGCATCTCCATGTAACCATTTGACCAGAGACCCTCAATAATAGCATGTGTTGAACGCTGTCCCAGAATAATATATGCAGTGGCAGCTCACTTCTGGTTAACCAGGTCTCTGGCAAGGGGCCATAAATAGAAAGCAGGTTAAAATCTGAGATGTTCTTTTGTTTAGCTCTTCTCTTATCCACAAAGCTGTAAAATTGACTAAATACCTTGCTTCCTTATAGTGTGGTTTCTTCAAGAGAAATAAGAAAGATCATTATGATGCCACATATCACAAGGCTGAGATCCATGCTCAGCCATCTGATAAAGAGAGGCTTACTTCTGATGCATAGTATTGATCTACTTCTGTAATTGGTAATTGATCAATGTTTTTTTAATTGCTAGCTGTGGGACCTGCTTATGGTTGTGGTGGCTAACTTTAAGAGCAACAGCTTGCTATGTGTGTTCCATTAACAGATGTTTCCAAATGTCCACACTGGCTTGCCTTGCTTGGATTTATTTTATTTATGTCACTTGAAAATACACAGGTTTGTTTTTTATTTGTTTGTTTGTTTCAATGCACAAAGAATCTTTTTTTGCAGGTGAGTTATTTTGTGTTCTTGTTAAACATCACCCACAGCAATGAAGAAAATCGCAACCTTTGCACACATAAAAGGAGGTTTTAGACCTCCATAGTAGCCCAGTTTGCCCCGTGCTGTTAATCCAGTGTGTAGCATCCCACTCGGAATTTCAAAGGTGCATAAGAAATCTCTGATTTCTTGTTCGTTTTGGAATTTCCCAGGGATATAAGCTTGTGTTGACTGCCTAATTAACCTGTTGCATGTTGGAAACTTTGTGTTTCTCTTGACAAAGAGGTTTCCTCTTTTTGTTCTCCTTGCTATGAAATGATGGGGCAGGCTTGGAATGCTTTTTATGGTTGCTTGGAAATCATTTTATGCTACCTAAGCATGCAACTTCCTTTCCCTGCATATCTCCTTCAGGCCAAAGACCATTACAACAAAGAGCGACTGTCAGCCTTATGGGCTTTATGATCAACTTCAGAAAATAGTCATCTGCCAAAGTAACTTTCTATATACAAAATTCCAGTACAAAAAAGTTGTGGGTAGTTTTTATTTCAATATGTTGTAATGGAGTTTGACCATGTTTCATGCTTATAGAGATTTTATTCCGCCTTGAGTCTCAGTTAATTTTTTAATTCATGTTTTGCTTCTCTGGTTGGAAGGAGGAATTGTGGGTGATTCCTTTTTCCATTTCTATGGACACAAAAAGAAAGAATGATTCCTATAATTCCTTCATGTGGCACTGTCACAATGAATTCCCAGCATTGCTCTTTTGACTTTACATTTTATCCTTAATTTACTTTTTAAAAATGGAACAGGCAACAGTTTCATTTTGTGGTAAATACACTGACTTTTTTCTGCACAGAATACTAAACAAGTCCATGTAGAAATGACTAGAATAAAACCTCATGGTTCATAGGCATATGATTTTGTCTTGCCCTGACATTTTTATAACATAACATTCTTCAACATAAATGTTCTATTCCTGTTGCCATCATGTAATAAACACATTAATCAACCATTCTAAGTTATCTTCTTCATCCTTCTAAGCTGCATTTTTAACTTGAAAACATACCTTCAAAAAAAACCCCAACATTTTTATGCATTAAAAATTCAATCTGATTAAAAAATATTCAGGTATATTCAGAATGAATTTTTTAAAGTGAATAAAATATCTATTAATTACCAATTTGAATGTAAATGCTATTTTTTTGCAAAAGAAGAAGAAAAATTAGGGAATGCTCCAAAATTCAAACTCCATTACTTTTCTTAAGTCCTGTGTGGTACACGATTGATTTTATTGCGGGACACTATTACTTCATGATTTACTGTGGTAACATCTTAATTGGAAACAACAGCAAATCCAGGTGATATAAAATTCCTCCTAGCTAATGAGAAATGTGATGTGTACTGAAGCCTCAGTGGACAGGAAAAGACTCTTAAATTGACCCATTGGAACACAATATTTTCATATTTGTCAAGTATTTGTGACCCGATTTCCATCTAACTAGTGGGAGAAGGGCATGAAATAATTTTTGTTTTATGTCTATTAAAAATCATTCTAAAAAATTGTTTTTCAAGTCATTTAGTAATCTGAAATTTGGATATTTTACAAATATTATGATTTTTTTTTAATAGAAGCATGCTTTCACAAACTCTTAAATTGTTAGTCAAAAGATAACTTACAGCTGGGTGCACTGGCACACGCCTCTAATCCTAGCAACTCAGGAGGCTGAGGCAGGAGGATCGAAAGTTCAAGGCCTATCTGGGCAATTTAACGATACACTATCTCAAAAAAATTTTTTAAAGGCTAGGGATATAGCTCAGGGGTAAAGCACCCTTGGGTTCAATTCCCAGTATGGAGGAAAGGAAAAAAACCTACATTGTTGTACAATGAAAAGACCAGATAAAAAATGGACTTTTCTTTGAGTTTTAGGGCTGTTCTCTTATTTTTACTGGCTATTATTTCTTTTCAACCTACCAGTGCTTTCTTGAAAGAAGATAGTCTTTTTTCCCCTTAATCCAAAGGTAGATACAGATGAACAGAAAGCTTAGGCTATTCCAATTTGATGTAGTTGGTTTTTTTGAGACTAATTAATTTGTGTCTGTTTTTCTCTCCCCCTTCTCCAGTGTGGATTCTTTAAGCGCTCTAGGTACGATGATAGCGTTCCCCGATACCATGCTGTAAGGATCCGTAAAGAAGAGCGAGAGATCAAAGATGAAAAATACAATGATAACCTTGAAAAAAAACAGTGGGTCACAAAGTGGAATGAAAATGAAAGTTACTCCTAGGGGACCAGAAAAGCTTCACAGTACCCAAAATGCTTTTTGGTTTATTTGTTTTTTTGGTTTGTTTTTTTTTTTCCAACTCAAATACAAATGGATTTAAGAGCCTGTTCAGAACCTGAGGATTAATTTCAGACTGACTACATACAGTACGAACCTACAGTTTTCACTGTGGATATTGTTACACAGCCTGAGGCTTCTGTTTTGCACAGCCAAATTTAAGACTGTTAGAATGGATCTTTCTTTAACTGCCTTAATTTAACTTTCTGGGTTGCCTTTGTTTTTGGTGTGACTGACCCACATGCTCTGGGGACGGGCCTGCCCAGGTGCACTCAGGCAACATCCTCCTGGTAGCACCCACATTCACCTGCGCTACCAGAATGGCCGTCCTAGCCTGCTGCTGTGAGCATCCTTCCTGTAGGATCAGAGAACCTGCAAGTTAAGTGTCCTGCAGCACAAGACTCTGCCATCAAGGCAGCTGTGTCTCAGTTTCAAGTGCTGTCTAAAGTTAAATGTGCAATAGAAGGTGATGTTGCCATCCTATTCTCTCTGTCCATTCCCTAGATGTGACTCCTTGCTCACACCAAGTGCACACAGGTTCCCTTCTCCCCTTTCACTAAAACACACAGGTGCAACAGACTTGAATGCTAGTGATACTTGTTTGTATGTGATATTTATTTTTTTCTTTAAACCATTTTGTTATTGACTAACAGGCCAAAGATCCTTCAGGTTGATTTAAACAATCGGAATTGGAACATGGGAGATCATTGATTGACCCAAGTTATTTCTTGCAAAAAGAAAATAATCCTTTATAAAATATACCAGAGAGTTGTTTTAATAACTTATCTGTAAATTATGACATCTCCTTCATAACAGCTTCTCCCTCCCCAACACAAAAAGTTTAAGAAAAAACAATCAAGATGTTTGTAACAAAGATGTTTAATTCTTACCTGACACCTGATATTATTATTATTTTTAGTTTAGAGCCCTGTGTGATTTTTCTGAATTTAGTGCTATAACTTTCAGGAACTTTGTGAAGAAAATGAGTTTGTTCATTCAACTCTAGGGCTTGTTTACTCACTGCTGCAAATACTGTATATTCAGGACTTGAACTAATCGGTGAGTGCCTATGGTGGATCCATATAAGACTACTGAATGAGTATCTGCTACCCAAATGGTGACCCAGTCAGATGGAACATCATGGCTTTAAGCTTTTTAAATGTTATTGGAACCATTTAATTAGTGAGTCGGTGTTCTATATTTCGTGTCCTTCCCTATCTAAATTTCCAAGATGACTTTGCAACTATTTTAACAAGATCTTCAAATTGTTTTTTAATTGTAAAAGCTGGCTGGGGTGGGAAGGAAAGACAGCTATGACTCTAGACATTCAATAGAGATTGAATATATATGAAAGTGGAATTTTAAACAAAATTCTCTGCTTTAAAATGTTAAAGTTATATGGGGAGCAAGAGCAAACAGGTGCTAATTCATTTGGCGATAGCATAAGCAGTGTTCCAATCTTTTAAGAGAACAAAATACAGCTATATATGCCATTGTTGCTTTGGAGTTTTAATTTTTTTTTCATAAATATTGTACCCTGAAGATACTAAGAACTTTATTCTGGTTGTACTTGGAATTTTCATTCATAAAAATTTTATAAATGATGTTTTATTTACAAAAATTTCTCTAAAACAGATCATAACAGTGTTTTAAGTCTCAGTTTCTTATTTGGATAACATGGAGCCTAACAGACACATTGGCTTTATAGGATATTAATCCAATATTTTGACGGTGTTTTTAAACATTGTTATGAAAGTGAATGTCCTAAAAAGAAGGGTGGGAGGGTAGTTCAAAAACAAAACAAGAATGTTTGTGGTGTTTAAATTTATAGTTGTTAAAAATGTCATCTCAAGTCAAGTCACTGGTCTGTTTGCATTTGATACGTTTTTGTACTAACTATCATTGTAAAAATTATTTCATGATTAGAAAATACCTGTGGATATTTGTATAAAAGTGTGAAATAAATTTTTTATGAAAATGTTCATTCCTTAATGACACAACATTATATTGTGAAACAACTTCATAAATGACAATTTGAATTCCCTTTCTTATTTCATCAAGCCAAACTAAAGTTTTTGATATTTATTCTTAAGAGCCCATATAATCCCAGATCAGCCAAAGATACTAGTACCCAAAGGAGTGCAATGTAAATTTGATTGAGGGTTGTTTTTTTAAAAATCCTCTTGAAACTACTGTTTTTGATGTTTTAAATTTCCTTTTTTTTTTTATAAGTTACAGAAAATGGCCTTATAGTGGTTTGTTCAAGATACCTATAAATGGCAAGTTTGCATTGATTGATCTGCTTCAAAGGCTATGGCTGTGAAAGATAAGGTATTACTCAGTAATGAGACCATGGCATAAAAAATAAAAGTTCTTATGGCTTGAGTCACTTGCTTTCTAGAATGCATGTGGGATGTGGCATGTCATTATATTAGTCACCAGAACTGGTTTGGCAAAATAGTTAGAAAATATGTTCTTTGCCCGAGCCTTTCATTTAGAGGACCTCCATAAAATGGCTTACAATTTTTAGGGATAGGACCAAGCCTTTTACTTAAATGAAAACATCTTAATGAGACACTAACCTATGAAAGGATGCTGTGGAGGACCAAGTTGGAATGAGAGTTTAGTTTTAAAGAAGGGAAAAGTACAATGCTGTAGGTGATTGGATTCTGCATGTGTACATCTTCAGGGCTGAGAAAACATGCAGAAGAATTTTGGCAGCTTGTATAGCATAAAATGAATGACTAAAGGCAGTTCCTCAAGATCAAAGGATGGGGCTGACCACTTTTATTGAAGAAAAGGGGAGGTTCAAAGAAGTGAAGAAAATGAACTTCAGAATGACCTCAAAAGAGTGGCTATTGCAAAGCTAGTGGGACACCTGTTCTTATAGGTCAAGGTCGCTGTCAAGTATGCATTTTCTCTTATACCTTAAAATTCAGATTTTGCCAGACTGGGAAAGGCATTTCATCTAGCTGTTAGAACTAGGGACTGCTCTTTATTAGGAGTTGAAGCCGTGTCTGCAGAGTTTAACCAGAAGACCTTATTTAGTCGGAAAGTCATAAAGGCACGCATGGTCAAATCCTCAAAGGATAAACTAAAAAAACTAGAGCAAGAAAATTGGTCCAGCCCAGTGCAAGGGAGGGCCAGGCACCACAGAGCGCAAATCTAACCAGGTAATGGTTGATGATTACACTGGAGTGAGGGAGTCAAGTGCAATTTTTGTAGCTGTCAGCCAAGCTTAAGTGCCTCAATCTTTTGCCCTTGCCCAGCACCATCTCAGTTATGCTGCTTGTTCCAGGACATGGAAACAGACCCATGTTAGGAGAGATCAGGTAATTTCTCACTATTCAACCTGGACCATCTCCCCCAGATCTCAAAACTATAGGGTTAGAGTGTGGTGCTTGAATTATCTTAAAGCCTTTTAGGTAAGAATTCAACTTGCAAATAACCAGTGGATTTAAGTAGATGGTCTGTCATTGTGAGATGTGGTTTGATCATTTTCTAATTGGGAGTTGACAATCTGACACTTTTGGGGTGAAACTTGACCCTAGAAAATTCCTTTTTACATAACATTTGAAGTAGACCTTCTCAACCTGGGCTACACATTTGAATCACCTAAGGAACATTTTTTTTACCACCCCCCCCCCCCCCAGTCCTGATGCCCAGAATTCTGTCTACACTGACCGTATCAGAATCTTGGAGGGTAAGTCCCAGACTTTAGTACTGCTTGAAGCTCCCAGATGACACAAAGTGCAGTCATGAGACCTACTTTAGATCATTGGATGGCCTGTGTATTAAAAGGGCTCTGCCCACCATGCCTCATCTCTGTGGTTCTCCCACCGCATCAGTAATAGGAGCTAAGTAGCTAGAGGTGCTTTTGCTGTCCAGACATGATTGACAACACAGAAGAGCATGAAGCGTGTTGGAAAAATGTTAGCTTCACCTCTTAGGATATAAGCTGGGGGAAGTCATTCAAATCTTTGGTCCCGTTCTCTTCATCTGTAAAATATGGTTGATAATCTCTTTCATAGGTTCTTGTAGGTAGTAAATGAGACATTTTGGAAGTGCTCATTAAATGTTACCTACTTTTACATATTGATGTAGAATCATAAAATGTTAGGGAGCATGGAAATCTAGATCTGTTTCCTCCTCTCACAGATATAGTTAATTTTTGTTGTCATTGGAACTTTATCTCCTCATTCGTCAATATGTCAACCCATGATTTAGTACTAGGAGTTGAAATTACAATATGCAAGCCCAATTGCCTTCCCGCTAGCTAAAAATATACACCATAACACAGGTGCCATGGTGCACAAGGTGACATGTGCCTGTAGTCCTAGTCACTTAGGAGGCTGAGGCAGGAGCATCTTGAGCCCAGGAGTTCATAACCAACCTAGGCAACACAGTGTGACCCAACTTTTATATTTAAGGTACTCAACAACATGGGTCAGTTTGAACAAGATTGACCTTATTATTTCTTTGTTAGACACACACACCTTAAGACCATGACCATAATATGGATTATGATCAGGTGGATTGGGATCAGGTAACTCATAGTGTTACAATCATCAAGTAGGTATCTAGACATTGCCATGTACTGATTCTTCTTAATTTTTTCCCCCTCCTGAAATGGAAGAATCTAAAACAGCAGATTTTTCTTTTGGATATTTTCTTGGAGTTATTTTCATAAAAATTTCAGTTCCTTGATTTCCTCTAGTGGGAAGGCAGGCTGCAATTTCCTTTGCTGGGCAGAAGATGAAATGTTCACAGTACCCATCTCACACTTAAGTTACATCATATATGTTAGACCAGATAGAAAAATTGCATGTCTAGCTCCCACATCCCAAAATGCATTGATCCAAAGACCTGTTAACTGCAATATAATGCAATTTTTCCCCCACCAGGAAGACTTGGGGAATGTTTGATTCCAAGGTGTCACCAAATTGCTGGTGGAACTGAAGTTCAGGATTCTTACCTGAGGAAACTAAGGGTAGTTGGGACGTCTCAACAGAGTGGTTAAAAACGGTCCTTAGGGGTTGTGGTTGTGGCTCAGCCGTAGAATACTCACCTAGCACATGCAAAGCCCTGGGTTCAATCCTCAGCACCACATAAAAATGAATAAAATAAAGGTATTGTGTGCAACTATGACTAAAAAATATATTTATATTTAAAGAGCAGTCCTTAAGATTTTAACATGCTAAGAATGAGCTGAGGATCTTGTTCAGGTGCAAGTTTGGTTTTTAGGCAATCTGGGATGGGGCTCAGAGCCTCCTATTTTAACAGGTGCCAGGGCCTGGGTTGCTGCTGGCCCATGGATCACATTTCAGGCATCAAGGATCTCTGCAGCCAGGTCTTCATTCAAGTCCCTCTGTGCCACTTTCTACTTGTATGTCCCAGGCAAGTTTAAATAGCTGATGCCTTAATATCATGTGTAAAGTGGTATGTGAAATCAATAGGATATAACTTGGGCCACCGGGGAATGTATATTATCCTACCTACCTCTGTGCAATTTCCTAACTCCTAACTCCTCCAATGTGTGGATAAAGAA